TGCGGATGTCATATGTTAGCATATAAACACATAAATCTATAAATATGTTCAACTATATAATTATGTGTGGGAATAACATAAGAATATAAAGATATTTGTTCAAATGTATAAATGTATGCAACTAATATTTAAATTATACGGAAATAGAAAACAGAATTTAAAATAATATATGTTGATTTAAATACATATGGTATATAATCGATGATTAAATAGAAGAATGTAAATATTTCATTGAAATGAAAATATGTTAAGTATACAATCGATGATTATAAACCTATAACAAATGATATCATGGCCAAAAAGATAAAAAAAAATATAGAAGCATACTTCAAAAACCAAAGCCTTGTGTTGGTTGATCGCTTTCGGTCATTGAAGCCTTGGTCACTCTCGTTTCTCGCTGTGCAAATGTTAAAGCGGATAATTTAGCACGAAAAATTCGTACCGAACCGCATCATATCACGTATGTAAACAACATTTCCCAGGAGCCATTTTAAGGTTAAAAAAAAAGTTGTTGACAACAAAAAACAATTAACTAAATTAATTTATTAAAAAAACAACAATTCCGTAAATAAACTGCATATTCGTTGCTGGTTTCTATCGATAATATTTTTTTACCGTTTTCACCTCGTATGGTGATTTTTGCAAGGAATTCTTAGGGATTTCGAATTTTTGCGAAAGAGACTCTTCATGAATTTGGAACGGAGATGGATCTACCAACCTTATAGTTATTTTCTTGCAAATCTGTCTCAAATTTGAGATGGAAGTGCCATGAAAGTTTATCTCCTCACACATTCCTCGAAAATCGCTCACAAATGGACTTGCGAGAATTTTTTTCCTTGCAATTGATGAGGGACGTGATGTTTGCAGCAGATGCCTCGCAACTCCATCACAAATTTGCGATAACTTATTGTTCTCATAAATTCCTTCACAAAGTTTTGAATCCATTTTGTTCCAAGTAATCGACCAGGGGTTTGGTGGGTTCAAGTTCATGAGGGTATATCACATCGTGTTAGGGTTGAAGATAACTAATGTAAAACATAATAAGACAAGAAATGAAAAGTAGATCAGTGATGCTATATACCCTCACGTTTCATCTTCCGTCCCTTAAAATCACTGTCTTAAAACATTTTCATGATTGTAAGTTTGTAACATTGTTTTTTGTTACGGAAACTAGCGATAAGATAAAGAAAGTTAAAATATTTGCTAAAGATGACAGTTTCTTATTAAAAAATCATACAAATGCAGACATATAAAAAGTTAGTATAAAAGTATATTGTCTTATTATTTTAAACGTTGATGCAAAATACATAGACATCAAATGGACTCATATTTTTGATACAACATTTTGCCATATATTCTACCACCAATTTATGTTGATGACTTAATTAGCTTTACGGCGTATTAACAAAACAAAAACCACTTACATAAACATTAGTTAATTATAGGGAAAATAAAAACAAGAGAACATTACTGGATTTTCCAATCAAGTACATGCCCTGGCGGACTATGATATCTTCTTGTAAACCAAATCCCATCCTTTCTAGCAATCCATGAGCGTAGCTGACCACATCGAGGATAATAGGCTTGAGCATATACTTCAATATCAAACCAATATTTTGGTCTAGTTCCGTGACTAAGCAGACAATACCATTTTTCACCATGAGGTAGCTGATTATTATCCGCGAACTCAATGATATAAAAAGGATCTTTGTACTTTAGGGTGTGAAACCTTGAAGGTGTGCGCTCTATGCTGAATTGCCGGCATGCAATGTTGAGATCAATACCAGGACCGAGTTCGTTATGAATTACTACATGATTTTTTTTGCAAGCTTCATTTATCCCAAAATACATAGTTGTAACTAACAAAAAAATTATCAGATGATCCATTTTTAAGATCTATGATAATTTTTGTAGTAAAAAAGGTATCAAGATGTAGTATTTATAATTTTCTAATGTGCAAACATATCATCTGTATTTAGTAAATGATCTTTTAATAACATAAGCTAAATTTAAAAACAAACATCAACCAAGAATATATCTGGTTGGGTGGAGTTTAAATAGAGCAATGCCAGCGCCGATGATCGACATAAGCGATTAAAAATAAAATGCCTACCTTTATAAAAATGCTATTGTTATATATTAAAAGACAAATAAAGAACTAAATTTAGCAAACAAAACTTTTTTTTTTGTAATAACATTTTTTCTTTCAACAAAATCATTAACTTAAACTTTCAAAATCAAAGTTTCTAACTAATATCATGTTCTATGGATACAATGGTTAAGTCCTTTTATATTTTCGGTGGGTATAGTCAAGCTAATAATGGATACAATGGTTAAGTCCTTTTATATTTTCGGTGGGTATAGTCAAGCTAATAATATAAGTAACCAATTCTCTATCTATTCGGTCAAATTCTCTATTCTCTTTATTCTAATTTTTTAGTGATATAAAATTATTTATATATTTTGTTTTTTAATTACTTAAATATTTAGCTAGAAAACTATAACTTTTATTGTGTAAACTCATGATTAGTTTGGGTTAGTTATCAAAAAGTTGTCAACGTTTGAGCATAGGTATAGGTAGTTCTATTATTTAATTTGAATTCAAATAATTGAAACTAGAAAAATATGCCTTTAAAATTTTCCAAAACTTAGAAGCCCTAAGCCAATGTTTCATTTTTTGCCATTGAGGCACGGCCCTGTTTAATGCAGAAAAGTATGATTGGCCTAGAAGATGTAAACTAAATGAGTAATTCTTACTAATTATAGTTAACCACGAAAATCAAGCCAAAATATAAGTTTAACAAAATCCAGAAAAACAATTGGATTACTAAACTAGCTACTAACTAGGGGAAAAAATCCAAAAAAACCGTCATCTAATTTTTTTTTGGTCGTTTAATACCCGTAGTATTAAATTTGGAATAAAAATACTTCATTTAATTTTGGTTGCCTTTTAAAACATTCGTTTTTTAAAAATTGGTAAAATCGTACCCCCGAGTTAACGACCGTTTTGTTAACGGAAGCACTAACTGCGGTTAAAACTTAACCCATGGTATTTACGTAGATATATACAATCTCTTTTTATAATTATGCAAATATATTGTCATAGTCTGGTGGTTATACGTAGGATGAATAGACTCATGTGCCTGAGTTCAAATCCCCAACTTGTCATTTTAGACATTTTTTTTTCTTAATTTGAGTTCGAGAGAAACAAAGAGAGAGAAGAATGGAGGTTACAGAGCCACATGGTCCAATCTTCTTCTTCTTCCTTGTTCCTCTTCTTTTACCATTGCTTCTTCTTCCTCCCCATATTTTCTCGGAGAATCCATATCTTTCCCGAGCAAACCCGTTTAATCTTCCCAGACACAGCTCCGAGAAATTGCCGTTTCTTTTTCTGATTCAAGGATCTCGATTCATAAGAGGTAGACACGTTTCGCGTTCTATCTTGTGTTCGATTCATAAGAGAAGCAAAGAGAGAGAGAAGAATGGAGGTGGTGGAGAGGACGATGGAGATGGCGGAGGAAGGATGTACGACGCCGAGAAGAAGGATGTATAGGATTCCGGTGGTGTTTGTTTGTCTACCGCCGCTGAGGAAGAAATCGATGGTCTACCCACGTTTTTATCAATTGATCAATTGGTTTTTGATCTGAACCATGTGAATCCGGCGGCGTTTACCCATGTGAATCCGGCGGCGGAGAAGACGGAGTTCCAGAAAGCTCGAGCGGTGGTCGGATGGTAAAGACGTGTTTGGAATTGACAAAATTGCGAAGGAATGTGAAGTTCAAAAGGAGAGAGATGTAGAGCTGTGAGATAATTGGGAGCCATGAAGGAGAAGATCGGAGGAAATGGTGACTAGTTCTGTAGAATAATCTATCCCACGTTTAGCCACCTGACTAAGACAATATATTCGTAAAACTTTGAAAAGAGAATGTATATATACACGTAAACACCAACCGCAGTTAGTGCTTCCGTTAGCAAAGTTAACGGTCGTTAACTCGGAGGTACGATTTTACCAATTTTTAAAAAACGAATGTTTTAAAAGACAACCGAAATTAAATAAGATATTTTTGTTCCAAATTTAATACTACGGGTATTAAACGGCCAAAAAAAAATTAGATGACGGTTTTTTTTGGGTTTTTTCCCTACTAACTAGACAGTAAATTTATCAATGAAACATAATTGTTGGTGTAGTACTTGAAGCTACTAGAGATAGGAAAAATTCGCTTAGTCTTCGAATACCCGATAATCCAAGTTTTTTTTTGTCGAGAACTTCAGAATTGATGTCGCACAAGTCTTAACAAAAGAGTTTTCACTTTGCTAAAAAAAATAGAGTTTTCAAAAGCTTGCTTTTGTGTCATAGCCTCGCAGACCTAAAGCTTGTTTTGTGATGAATTAGTGACATCGTACTAACTACTAGATAACAATTAAGTAAATAAATTACACATTTGTTGCAAGTTTAGCAACGAAATGGTGTATCCCTAATTAACGACGAAAGGATGTACTTACCTTCAATCGACGAGAATTTGATATTTTCTTACCTTCAATCGGCAAGATTTTGATAGTTTAGACCACCCATTACCATGCTATTTTTATCCGTACGTAGGATTAAGATCCTAAAATCACAAAGAAAATCATCAGGTATGCAATGCACTAATTGACCTTTGGTTCCATTAAATATCGAAACACACATATATATATATATATATATATATATATATATATATATATATATATATATATATATATATATATATATATAAAACAATCTCAAAACATATCTCCAACAGTTGTGTAATCACAAATCATGGATAAAATTTTCTCATTTTGTAGCAAAACAAAAGATCAATATTTTGAGATACCTATTGAAAAAATGTTGAATGTATAGTCTAATACCAAACTATCAAAACTTCTAAAAACATTTGTAGAGTGAACTTTTTTTTAAAACAATAGGCTCAAAGGAAAGTTACAAGGCTATGTAATGACAACGAGTTGAAATTTCACAAGATTAAATTTGATGGTTATTTGAAATAATAACAGTTTGGAAACATAAAATTAAACATAGATTTGACAATGAAATGTGGTTGTTGAGTAGACAACAAGACTAAATGATTAAACTAGATAAACATTAAACATTACACATTACAAAAACAAAAACAATTGTTTAAATGGTTGAGTGAAGGAACAATGCAATGTAAAATATGTGGCTTAAACAGAGGTTTCTTTTGTCCTAAGCAGAAATAAGCTGTTCTTGTAGAGGTCTCTTGGCTGGAGTTGAACGCTGTGACTCAGACGATTGAATTAGTATTTGCATTGTTATAGTTGCAATCACCAAGAAGAACACAAAGAGAAGAATAATCTTCCACGAGGCCACTATTGAAAGCCATTGGAGTAGCTTGAAACCACCGTACATAAGGAAACATAACCAAATGAGGACCACCTGTTTCCAACAACATTACCATATTTTATAAGAAAATCAATTTATAACGTTTTGAGGTAAGTACAATATGTGATGTTTCTTACTATCAATGGTTTGATTGGCCGGTTAATTTGCTGAACTTCCAAGTCGCTGAAAACATCTTTTGTGAAGTATTTCTCAAGTTGAGCATCCTGATTTAAAAAGTAAGTAATGTAGCGACATGAATTTTAGCGTAAATAGGAAAGTTTGATGAGAAAAATATTGTTTGTGAACCTTGGTGATAAATAGATCTTGGCACCATTGAGCAATGCCATCATCGGTTTCTGGCAACTCGCTCATTTTGTGACGTCTCATCTGCAAATTTACCTTCAAGAAAGAAGAAAGATTTTTTGATATTGTGAGCATAGGCTTCTTCTATGTGAAAAAAAAAACACAAACACATTTGAATATTTTGTAACCTCAGATGATTGTCCACTGAACATCCTAAGTAGAGTTGGTGTAGAGTGATTGTTATGAACGGTTAAGGTACAGTCATAAATTGCAGGAACAAATGACCGTATTTCAGACACCGCCGAAACAAAACCCTGATTTTGCATATCTATGTAAATCCAAGTGAAGTAAAGCTCATAATAACCTGAAAAAAACAAGGTGTTGGTGAAACTCACCTTTGTACGAGGAATCAAAACATTTCGAGGTGACGGTAAACTTCTGGTAGAGGCGTAATCTTGAGCAGCTTCAAGCTTCTCCTGAGTGAAACGAGTTCCTTCAACGAAAAGAGCTAACCAGAATGTCATAGGAAAGTCCTCAAGTCGTTTAAAACCTGCCTGAAATAAGTAAAACAAAAGGATGTTTCAAGCACATCAAACAGAATCAAATTTAAGCACAAGAAAGAAACAGCGCAAAATTAACCTTGAGGGTATTCTCATCTTTAGCCCAACTTCTTTCCAAGAAAATGTAATCCGAAAACCACATCGACCAACCTATGATCTTGAAAGACTTGTAGTGTTTCAGTAAACTAAGAACAAGAAAAATCAACAAAAAGATCCAAAGAACTCACTGGAAGATACTTGGCTTCTTTCTTCATGATGGCTAGAGAGCTTCCAAGACAACCTGCACGCTGTTATATGATTAATCAGAGACAGTGATTTCTCCAAATTTTGAAAAGCATATATGTTTCAGAGAAAGATAGAAACACCTGAGCCATGACCCATCCAATAAGCCAATCAATGTCACTTCGATGATTGCTCAAGACAAGTGCATGTTCTTTCCCTGAAATTTAATATCAAGAACAAGAATCATTATTTTCAAATACTTAAAGCCTTGGTTTCATAAGCTCTCAGATTATGTTTTACCAATTAACTCTAGAGTCTCTGCATCAGCATATAAATTGATCTGCAACAACAACAACACATATCAGACTATGATACCTCTATGTAAACAACAACAAGATTCATGATAATCACCAACCTTTATACAAGCCCACCAATCAAACAACCATATGAGCTGCAACCAAAGTAATTCCGCAACATTTTTGTTGATTCTTCTATACAAACTTCTTGAGAATGGACGAACAATGATGAAGAACACAAGCTGGAAACAGAGAAAATGTTTCCAAAACCTTTAGTTGACACAAATTTCAATTTTATAACATACATATTATAAAGAACATAAAATGTTTCAGCTGTGTCTTGTCCATTGAGAAGACATCACAGTAAAAATCATGTTTTCGACAAACAAAAATGGATGACCTGAATGATGTTGACGATGAGCCCTGAGATCAAGAAGAGGACACCAACAGGGATAAAGACAAGAGCCGCAGGGATCTTCATGTCTGAGAGAGAGAAGGAACAACACAAAGCAGCAACAGAAGAATATAAAAAATTGTTGGAGAAGACACCAAGAGAGAATGACTGTTATCTTTTTGTTTCCCCTGTTATAAAATTCTTTTTGGGGGATTAGAGAAATGAGAATAAGGAACATCATTGTTGTTTCGATGCAAGAGCGTTTTTCAAGCTCTATTTTAAGCCTATTAAGCTCTGTCTTTCTTTCTCTCTCTCTTTCAATATTTTAGTTGACAAACACATGGAGACATGTGCGCATGTAAAGCTCTCCCATGAAGTACAATAAAATGCAACTAAAAAATAACAAGAGTTGTGTATTATTAGCTCATATCTCATAAGGGGATCAAATTATTTTAACAGTATATACCTCATATATAATACAACATTCTCATCAAATCCTTATGCTCGTAGTGGTAACAGAGTATTGCACCATTCCTTGGATTAGGTCTCTCATGCATTAACCAGCTTTTCTTCTGCACTGGATTCTCCTGAATCAGCCTCAACAGATAACGTAATAGGCATTGTCATGATATTGACGGGTTTTCCCGAGTTTGGTTTTATCTTCCAACGCTGCAAAGACCGGGAAACACGGATTGTCCCATGCATGACTCCAGAATTACGCCTGAACCAATGCAAGTGGTTCCCGCTGCAAACTGTCCAGCAGCAACTGCAACATCTCCGTCTGCTTCCATTTCAAAACTTCAGCTGTAGAAGCTAGGCCCATGTCGGACCTATATAGCATCAACCCTAATGGTTGGGTGCATAAGGCAAAATGAGAGCAAGCTTACAACATAGGTAGCTAAAAAGATTGAGAAAGTATGAAACATAGGGGATAAATCCATAGGAACTCGGAGACAGAAGTTACAACGCAACATGTCACAAGCGAGATCGTGGTAAACATTCGGGGCGCATAACAATACTATCAAACGAATTCATGACATTGAAGAAGATTCTTTAGCTTCAATGGTTTCCGGCGTGAATCACTTGGAGAAAACTAAAAGACTTTGAAACGATTCTCTCCACAAGGGAGGATGGCTGAGCTGAGATTACCTCCAAGACAGAGCAGCTTTGGCGCCAAAGACCCTTAAGGTCATATATGAATTCTGCACAGAAGAAGACAATGTCATGCGTCCTCGACAAACTCATTAGATAAGACGCAAGAAACGGTCCAAGAAACTTTCCTGCCGTCGACCAAATCCGGTGAGAAGGTCCTCCTTGACAATGATACCTACCAAACCAACATAGAGATGTCGGTCCTCTGTTAGGATGGTGTCCTCGACCAACCGATACAGAATCAGAGAATCTAATACCAAATTATACTATCAAATATTTTAAAATTTGTAGACTGAACTTTTTTTGTGAAAACAATAGGCTCAAAAAAAAGTTAGAAAGGCTATGACAACGAGCTGATATTTCACAAAGTCAAATTTTATAGCTATTTTATATACAAACATTAGGAAACATAAAATTTATAAATAAATTTCACAATGAACATTTGGTTGTTGACTAGACATGACTAAACGATAGAACTAGATATATAAACAGTTTAATTGTTACACACTAACAACAACAATTACGTTTAAATGGTTGATTGAAGGAACAATGCAATGTAAAATCTGTGGCTTAAACAGAGGTTTCTTTTGTACTAGGTAGAGATAAGCTGTTCTTGTAAAGGTCTCTTGGCAGGAGTGGAACGTTGTGACTCAGACGTTTGAATAAGTACTTGCATTGTTATAGTTGCAATCACCAAGAAGAACACAAACAAAAGAATGTTCTTCCACGAGGCCACTATGGAAAGCCATTGGAATAGCTTAAAACCACCGTATATAAGAAGACACAACCAAATGATGACCACCTGTTTCCAACAACATTACCATATTTTATAAGAGAATCAATTTAATAGCATTTTGCGGTAATCCTGATGTGTGATGTTTCTTACGATCAATGGTTTGATTGGCCGGTTGATTTGGTGAACGTCCAAGTCGCTAAACACGTTTTTTGTAAAGTATTTCTCAAGTTGAGCATCCTGATTTAAAAAGTAAGCACTAAGCAAGCAATGTAGCTAGCGAGATGAACTTTAGCGTAAATAGGAAATTTCGATGAGTAGAATATTGTTGGTGAACCTTGGTGATAAATAGATCTCGGCACCATTGTGCAATGCCATCATCGGTTTCTGGCAACTCGCTCATTTTGTGACGTCTCATCTGCAAATTTACCTTCAAGAAAAAAGAAACAAAGAGTTTTTGATATTGTCAGCATAGGCTTCTATGTGACAAAAAAAAACACATACACATTTGAATATTTTGTAACCTCAGATGATTGTCGACTGAACATCCTAAGCAGAGTTGGTGTAGGCTGATTGTTATGAACGGTAAAGGTACAGTCATAAATAGCAGGAACAAATGACCGTATTTGAGACACCGCCGAAACAAACCCCTGATTTTGCATATCTATGTAAATCCAAGTGAAGTAAAGCTCATAATAACCTGAAAAAAATACAAGTTTTAGGTGAAACTCACCTTTGTACGAGGAATCAAAACATTTCGAGGGGACGGTAAGCTTCTGATAGCGGCGTAATCTTGAGCAGCTTCAAGCTTCTCCTGAGTGAAACGAGTTCCTTCAACGAAAAGAGCTAGCCAAAATGTCATAGGAAAGTCCTCAAGTTGTTTAAAACCTGCCTGCAAGAAGTAAAACAAAAGGATGTTTCAAGCACATCAAACAGAATCAAATTTAAGCACAAGAAAGAAACAGCGCAAAATTAACCTTGAGGGTATTCTCATCTTTAGCCCAACTTCTTTCCAAGAAAATGTAATCCGAAAACCACATCGACCAACCTATGATCTGTGAAAGACTTGTAGTGTTTCAGTAAATTATAGAGAGTAAACTAAAAACAGGAAAATTCAAGAAAGATCGAAAGAACTCACTGGAAGATACTTGGCTTCTTTCGCCATGATGGCTAAAGAGTTTCCAAGACAACCTGCACGCTGTTATATGATTAATATTAATCAATCAGAGACAATGATTTCTCCAAATTAACTAAAAAAAAAAAATCATGTTTTAGAGAAAGACAGAAACACCTGAGCCATGACCCATCCAATAAGCCAATCAATGTCACTTCGATGATTGCTTACGACAAGTGCATGTTCTTTCCCTGAAATTTTTAATATCCAGAACAAGAATCATTATACTCAAATACTTAAGAATTAGGTTTCATAAGCTCTTAGATTATTTTTTTACCAATTAACTCTAGAGTCTCTGCATCAGCGTATAAATTGATCTGCAACAACAACATCACATATCACATATCAGACTATTATGATACCTCTATGTAAACAACAACAAGATTCATGAAATAACCAACCTTTATACAAGCCCACCAATCAGACAACCATATGAGCTGCAACCAAAGTAATTCCGCAACATTTTTGTTGATTCTTCTATACAAACTTCTTGAGAATGGACGAACAATGATGAAGAACACAAGCTGGAAACAGGGAAAATGTTTCCAAAACCTTAAGTTGATACAAATTTCAATTCTATAACAGACACTAAAGAACATAAAATGTTTCAGCTCTGTCTCTTCCATTGAGAAGACAATGAAAATGAATTTCTTTTGGTATCAGAGTAAAAACCATGAACAAAAACGAATGACCTGAATGCTGTTGACGATGAGCCCTGAGACCAAGAAGAGGATACCAACAGGGATAAAGACAAGAGCCGCAAGGATCGTCATGTCGAAGAGAGACACCAACAGAGAATGACTGTTATCTTTTTGTTTTCCCTGTTCTCAAATTCTTTTTGAGGGAATCAGAGAAATGAGAATAAGGAACATTGTTGTTTCGATGCAAGAGCGTTTTTCAAGCTATATTTATAGCCCATCATGCTCTGTCTCTCTCTCTCTTAGAATATTTTAGTTGACAAACACATGGATACATGTGCGTATGTAAAGCTCTCCCACGAAGTAAGTTGACAAACACATGGAGACGTGTGCGTATGTAAAGGTCAAATTATTTTAAACAGTATACCTTATGTACAATACAACATTCCCATCAAATCCTGAAGCTCGTAGAGGTATGTCTTATGTTGTTATCGACTATCAGCTAAAACTTCGGATCTACAGAGTTTCTGGGTGATAACTGAGCACTGCACCATTCCTAGCATTGTGTCTCTCATGCATTAACCAGCTTTTCTTCTGCACTGGATTCTCCTGAATCAGCCTCGGCAGATAACGTAAGTGGCATTGTCTTGATTTTGACAGGTTTCCCGAGTTTGGTTTTATCTTCCATCGCTGCAAGTTGAAGGGCTTTTGCACAGACTGGGAAACACTGATCGTCCCATGACTCCAGAATTATGCCTGAACCAATGCAAGTGGTTCCCTCGTAAAACGCTGCAAACTGTCCAGCAGCTAGACCTTGATCGTCTTCGTCTAGGTGCACAACTGCAACATCTCCGTCTGCTTCCATTTCAAAACTGCAGCTGTAGAAGCTAGGCCCATGTCGGACCTATAAAAGCCGCTCTCAACTTATCAGTGCCAAGTAGACTATCATGTGTAGAAAGTAACTGATCATATTGTTTACCTTGCAACGGAGCTCTCTAACATTGTCAGAAGGTTTCCCACTAAGCCATCTTAAGGAGCCAACACGGAAAATACGCCTTCTCTTGTCGATTGAGTAGTAATTTCTGGAGACAAACACTACGTTGTTCTTGGTGTCCTTTTCAACAACATACCTGCACATGAATAAAGGGATATTACGGCCAAAATTAAAGATCTAAAAGAAATTATACTCGGCATGTGATGAGAAGTTCAGCCAAATTGTTTTCTCGACACAAATGAAGCGTTCATACATTAAGAACCAGAAGCTGCTTTTAATTATCATATGAGCCAAATGCTGGTATCTCAACCAACGACAGAAATAGCTTCGAATTTCATACATCTTTTAAGAAACATACCAGGGCCCACCGGGTAAACGCAATCCTTGGCGTTGTCCAATTGTGTAAAACCAAAATCCCCGGTGGTTACCAAGAAAATCCCCAGTTTCGGCTTCCAATATAATTCCTTCCATCTCCCCTATGTGTGTACAGACAAAGTCGCTGAACTTTATCTATTACAGAAAACCATATTCTTATGTTTCAGACTTGCACTAGACAAACAGTCATTAACCAGAAGAACAAACTAGAAAATATACCTTTCCCAGGAAACAAATTCCTTGTGAATCCTTTCTATCTTTATTTGGCAAATCGAATTGTGTGGCTAGTTTGCGAACTTCGTCCTGTACATCAGAAAACAAGAACCACTAAGAAATCAAAATGTTTTCATTATTATTATTTTTTTGTTCATGTTTCAGAAAGGAACAGAGTTATGGGACTAAAATCTCCCAGTTTTGCAAAGATAGAACTTCCTCTACTACCTTTTTTACACAACCAAGTGGGAAAAGCAGCCGCTTAAGCTGGGTTTGAGAGAGATGTGAGAGGAAGTAGGTCTGATCCTTCACCTAAACAATCGAAAAATATAGACTATAAATGGTAGAAGTACCGAAAACAAAAGTAATGCACCTAAGAAGCATTAGTAGCCAACAACAGTAGGTACAATACAACATTAAACATGCTGATGAGAAATAACCAGCAGATCAAGTCAAGAGTGTTTTATTGGAGTAAGTACCATGTCTTGTGATAGTTCCAAAACAGATGATGAATCATTTTGGTCAGCAGGAGGATGGACCACTTTAGCATAATGACCTGAAGCTACGTAGTCATACTCCATATCACTGATTGCATCCATGAATGCACCTGTAAACATAAGGTCAATCAATACCTGATTAGTCAAATAACCAGAGACAGACACAATAGCATATACAATTCAGCTGAAAGCAGAAGTCTTTCTTCATGGGCGAAAACTCTTGATCACAAAAACTATTTAGCAAAAGAGCTTACCAAACTTAATTCTAGTATTACATAGAACATCAGGATTAGGTGTGCGTCCACAACGATACTCCTCAATAATGTAGGAAACCTGATTTATAGTTGGAAATCCAATCAGCAACCCAAATTATTAGCATTTGAGAAAGAAGCAACAAAGAAAGAACTTACAACTCTTTCCCAATATTCATCTGTTAAATGCACAACCTCCAAAGGAACATCAACCTGTAAAATGGCACCACTAGAAACAGTAAACATCGTCCTTTCATTGTTAAGTATACAAAGCATGAACCTTTTGAAACAAGCAAGAATAATCACAGGGTTTTAGGGTTAATCAAGAACACTACCTGCTCACAAACATGCTTAGCATACTTCAAATCATCTTCCCAAGGACACTGATTCCAGAAATTCTCAAAGCCTTCCTACAGAACATTGAAACATCACAAACCCATATATGTCTATGGTTCCAACAAGCAATTGCTAAGAAGAATAAACACACCTGAAACCAGATTTTGAGATAGAAAGCTGTACAGGAGTGACCAGCGGCGTGGAGGAGACGAAGAGCGACACTGCTATCGACGCCGCCACTGAGGAGAACGGCGACACGAAGAGGCTTCTCAGGCATGGAACATGAGAGGTATTGGTCGAGGAGAAACGCATGGCGACTATAGTTACGGTTCGAGGATATGAGAGGCTTAATTGGATCAGAAGATTGAGGAGACGGAAGGAGAGAGGAAGAGGAGGAGGAGGAGGAGGAGGAGAAGAATGAGGGGAAAACGCGGAAGGAAATTGAGATAGAAGAGAGAGGAAGGCGAAAGAGCGGTGGTGAGGGAGAGAGGAAGGGTTTGGCGACGGCGGAGAACATCGGAAATCGCCGGCGATAGAATTAAAGCAGGAGGGTTTATCTTATCTGCTCTGTTTTGCGTTTTGTTGTAAACGAAAATGATACGTTCGGAGTTTGGTTTGATTGGGCCTATATTGGGCCAAGGGTATTTATTTACGTTTAAGCCTTCTATGCTTTTATGTTTTGTGTTATTTAAGCTAAAATCATACAGCTGTAACCTGTAAGAGATTATCAAAGAAATTATTCAAAAACAATTCACTCATCTTCTTCTACCTCTATCTTCTTCTATCTTCTCTGATTCTTCTGATTCTCACCTATTTTCTGTTACTTTCATGATAGGCCAATTTCAGGCTTTATACAAAAAACCTCAATTTTTTTAAAAATAACTACAACTACAAAACGAGATTAAATGTCCATTTAGATTTATAAAAGAGGATTAGGGTTTAGATTTTTCAATTAAATGAGTTATACGTCTATTTAGGGTTTATGATAGGGGTTAGGTGTTGTACTAGCAAAGGTCTTTGTTTTGCCTATGTCTCATGTTGCTATGTCGACAACATCATCTAAGTTGGTGTATTTTTATGAAATTTTGCCTAGTTTAATTGTTTGATTTACGTCTTCTTCTTTACTTGCAGTTGTTCAACATTATATATGTAGATATATTTGTTTTTGTTTAGAAATACTAAAATAGTTATCATGAAACCAATCTAAATTAATATATAGCTTATCTACAGTTTATTTTATATGGAAGTATCTAATACATTATAAATATTTCTTCATAAATTTAATATTCTGGGTAAAAAATCTATTTTTTTTGCTAAATTTTTTGTATATTACCTTATGCAATTACTTATCTTTTTAATCCTTTTCTTAGAGACCTTAAATAGTACTAGTTATAGTATAATTTAAAAAATTTTGTGACACCCAAGTATAATCTTTATTTTCATCTTAAACTTAATGGTGTCGGTCAACCTTCCATGTGAATTAGTGGAAGAGATCCTATGTAAGGTTCCACCTCAATCTCTTGCTCGATTCAGGACCGTATGTAAGTAATGGAATTCTCTTTTTGACGACAACAAGTTTGTGAACGACCACTTGGTTCGATCGCGACCATAATTCATGTTCCGAACCGATTCTAAGATTTATTCGGTAGCCATTAATTTCAATGATGTATGGATAGAGGTCCATGAGTTAACCTTAGACATTCCTGGTTTGAATTGTGAGATGCCAATATGGCTATATGACTATGTTGATTGTGATGGCTTGTTGTTTTGTACTAGCTACAAGTTTAAAGGGGTCTTGATTTGGAATCTATCTGGTTGAGACAAACTAGATTATTGGCATCCAAAAATCGTTATCCAATCACATATGACATAGGTTATGATAACAAAAAACAATACAAGATGTTGGATTATTATAAATATGAAGGTGACCCATCAATAAAATCCAGGATTTATGAGATTGGGTTATATGCAAAGAAATTCAAAGAATTTGGGTCTGATAGTACTTGGTCAATTTTCCAATCAAATTGTAATGGTACTAGCAATGGTACTAGGATGATTTTGTAAATATCGCTTACCTTGTTTAAATAGATTATGATCATTTTTTGATCATATTTTAATTAAGGGTTTTGATGCATTTAATGAAAAATCAATTTTTACTACTGAATACATTATAATTAATGAAATTTTTGAAAAAAAGTTGACAAATATTAAGAAAATATAAGAAAAACATAAGAGAAATATAAGCAAAAAGTGAACAAACAAAATAATTTTAAATTTAAATTTGAGACATAAAACTAAAATATGATTATCTATCTTTCCTTCAGCTAAAACAGTTTATGAAGCAATCCTCGCCTCGGGGATAAGAGATCTTTCGATTCCGGAGAGTAGGCTTCAAGCTCAAGATCTCATTTGTGATCTTCTTCTTCGCGAACCTAATCTCAAGTGAACATTTCTTATTGAATTCTCAACTTTCGTATAAAAATACATGCCTTTCATTTTATTGAAGAGAAAACCTCCCCCATTTGAACAAAGTCTCTGGCCTTCGCCGTTATGACTTTAGAGTATCACTCACGTCTTGTAACTACACAAAATATGTCTAGCTGGATTTTTGTAGCTCAGTATTACGTCTTTCTTTTGATGTTAAACAACGTTTCAAATCTTATTTGCAATACAGTCGCCATTAACAAACTTTAATCTTTGCATTTGCGCTAAATTATTCATAAACAAGAATCCAACAACGACAAAAGGACAAACGACAATGTAAATGACAAAACTATATACCCAGCCAACAAATGGAATACTAGAAAGAAAACAAACACTTTTAATTTATACGTTCGCTATATAATCTTTTCTTATTTTTTAAAACACAATTAAACTGGTACGTATTATTTTAGTATTTTACTAAATTATACTGTAGTATATATCTAGCTCTCCCTCCAGCTCGAGCTTCCTTGTCAACCAGAGACTGACCTCGGTCATTATCTGGGGAACGACGGTATGGTCACAACTGCACATGAAGAAATCAATTTAATGAGAGCTAGTGCTCCACCAATACCGTAACCTGCTACGCCCTTCATCACTATCAAAACCAGAAGAATGACAAGTGAAATACTAATTATTAGCTAGAGTGCACTTACCAACTGTGTTTAAGACACTCTGTTTCTATTTCCTTCTTTCAAAGTGCAAAAGGTTTGGTTATTTTATTTGCAAATATCTGTGTTCTTTTTTCTTTTTTTTTTTCATTTTATAGTTTACCAACAACAGTAATTTGATGTAATTAAAAAACAGTAATTTATGTGAAAGGTGTAGTAAAGTTCAGGATATTTCTACAAATGTAAATATTTTTAATTCCCTTTCAAAGAAAACAATTTCGCTGGCCTTTCCAATTTCAAGCCTTCCATCTACACGCATTGCGTTCTCAAATCATAACCACCTATTAGGTTTTACACATTTGTTTTTTTCGTTACAAAGTAAAATTCACAATTATTACAGATTTTTTTTTTTTTTTGTATCAATTAGTATTATACAGATTTCATAAAACTGTTTAGATAATACTCTCTCAACATAAACATAAGTACATAACCATGATAACATACGTCAACTTTCCGATTTTTTGTTTTTGGTAATATAATTGACGTTATCCATAACCAAAACTTCCATTGATAGAAAATCTCTAGCTATAACAAAATTTAACTTCTTCAAATTTCTTGAAACTAGTTATTCGAATTTGGGTTTTCTGGTTTCTCTGGGAAACCTCTAGGTTTCTAGACAAACACAAGAGTCAACACTAAATTCAAGTTTGACTTAATTAATGAGTTACTGTCATCAATAGCTTAACGTCTAAGATACATATGATAATGTGATTAGCTTTGAAACTCTTTAAGACTTAAACAAAGAAAATGAAGCAATCATTTTCTTCCAACAATATTTTTTTTAATTACTATGTTTAATTGAATAATTTGAGAAAATATTTTATTTGTTACTTTATTGAATCTAATGAGTATATATCTTATTAAATATATTTAAAATATGAAATATTAAAATTTGAACAATGACAAAATAAAGTTCATCAGATGCCCAAAACAAATTTTCAAATCGCTCTTGCGGTGATACTTCAATCAATTATATTTTGTTTGTTCTTAAAAAAAAATTATCTTCCTCTTTTGCAAAGAATATATAAAAATCTATTACTTTGGGAAAAAAATTCTAATTCTAATTTTCCACCGGATACAGAAAAAAATTATTTTAAAACAAAATTTAAAGTCTAAAACGACACTTAATATGAAACGGAGGGAGTATATTTTATACACACCTTAAATTAAATGGGGACTAATCTCAATTGCTCCTCAGAGTTAAAGAATTAATCTACATACTCTCCTCCTTTTAATGAAAGGACGAAAATATTTTATTTGTTACTTTATTGAATCTAATGAGTATATATCTTATTAAATATATTTAAAATATGAAATATTAAACTTTGAACAATGACAAAATAAAGTTCATCAGATGCCCAAAACAAATTTACAAATCGCTCTTGCGGTGATACTTCAATCAATTATATTTTGTTTGTTCTTAAAAAAAAATTATCTTCCTCTTTTGCAAAGAATATATAAAAATCTATTACTTTGGGAAAAAAATTCTAATTCTAATTTTCCACCGGATACAGAAAAAAATTATTTTAAAACAAAATTTAAAGTCTAAAACGACACTTAATATGAAACGGAGGGAGTATATTTTATACACACCTTAAATTAAATGGGGACTAATCTCAATTGCTCCTCAGAGTCAAAGAATTAATCTACATACTCTCCTCTAATCCACATACTCTCCTCCTTTTAATGAAAGGACGAAAATATTTTATTTGTTACTTTATTGAATCTAATGAGTATATATCTTATTAAATATATTTAAAATATGAAATATTAAAATTTGAACAATGACAAAATAAAGTTCATGCCCAAAACAAATTTTCAAATCGCTCTTGCGGTGATACTTCAATCAATTATATTTTGTTTGTTCTTAAAAAAAAATTATCTTCCTCTTTTGCAAAGAATATATAAAAATCTATTACTTTGGGAAAAAAATTCTAATTCTAATTTTCCACCGGATACAGAAAAAAATTATTTTAAAACAAAATTTAAAGTCTAAAACGACACTTAATATGAAACGGAGGGAGTATATTTTATACACACCTTAAATTAAATTGGGACTAATCTCAATTGCTCCTCAGAGTCAAAGAATTAATCTACATACTCTCCTCTAATCCACATACTCTCCTCCTTTTAATGAAAGGACGAAACTACCCCTTTACTAGGTATACGTGGTACAACTGGTACCCCTAGTTGTACCTCATCTCTAGTTGTACCTCCTCCTAGTTGTACTGTACCTCCTAGTTGTACTGTACCTCCTAGGTATACGTGGTACAACTGGTACCCCTACCTACCAGTTGTACCACGTATACCTATCCTAGTTGTACCTCCTCCTAGTTGTACCAGAATATTCCCGAATATTCCCTAGTTGTACCAGTTACAACCCGTATAAAAGGATTCGAACCCTGGGGGCGCGCGCGTGCGCATGGAGCTCGCAACCACTGAGCTATTGTGTTTTTCGTTGAACACTTACCGATTTAATTGTATTTAACCCTTATCACCCGAAATCAACCCTCATTAAGGGTAATTTTGTCTTTCTACCATTGAGGAGTATTTGAGACTAAATTTGGAGCTTGAGGAGCCCCTGAGAATTTGTTCCAAATTAAATACACATAGGACATAGCTTAGAGGTACATATGGGAAAGGTACCTATGGGAAAGGTTATTTCTGATTAAAGTACAATCAAATTCTTTTTCCTTTAATATATAGCAGTTTCATATTTTCTAAACTCAGTTAAGCATCTTAGTGCATATCCTAGGAGGGTATATACAACAAATATTGTTTAGAAAACGTGTATATTCAACAAAAGAATCATTTTTGTAAATACAACTAAATTCAAAGTTTATTTTAGAATCGTTGAATATTCAAACAAATATTTTTTTTATCAAATCTAACAAGTAAAAATGATTTACAAGCAAATTCATTAATTTTGTGAAATATTTTACAAAGCATCAAAAACTGTATAATCGTAACAAACAAAAATATATATATACATGTGGAATTAAATAATAAACCTTATTTTGTTGTCGTTTTAGTTCACCAATAAAGTCATTTTATGCGAAAGTAATAGTCACGGTTGACGATTTATATTTATTTATTTATTTCTAAAAGTACATATTTCCCTTTAAAAAGAAACAAAATTATCAATATGATCTCGAATGTTTTAACTTAAAACACGTTCCACCTTCCATCTACACGCATCGGCTTAGTCTCAACCATTTGTTTTTTCTCTAATCCTTGATTTCTTTCTGTTCTTGTCAACTTTCCTACTCCTTCATTCGTTCCATTTTGTCATATCATTCGAATCCATTGAGATTTATTTCCAAAACCCTTTTTTGAATTCACTTTTTTTATATTTTGGTCCAGAGTCCAAAACAGAGTGTAACATTCGCCAAACTGCTAGAGAACAAAAAAACTGAGGATTTTAGTTTGCTGGGAATTTTTTTGCTATTTTCTGGGAAATTGTTTCGTAAAAGTTTTGCTGGGAAATTGTTTCATAAAAATAGAAAAAAAGAAAAGAAAAGAGACATTATTGACCTATCTTCTTGGTTCAGAAAAAAAGGTGGGTTCTTCTTTTACGTTACATTCTTTTGCTATCTTCGTTCTTAATCACCTTTTCAAATTCTACCCATTTTGGATTAAAGTTAAATTCCTTTTTTTTTTGTTTTCTTTCATAAAGGTTTCATCAAATTGTTGGGTTGCTTTCTGTCATTAATTAAAATCGAGTTTTTCGATTTTTCTTTGGTAATTACATTAACCAAACTTTTAGTGATAGAAAATTTGTGGTTATAACCAACTTTCTCTTCTTTAATTTCTTTTGATATTTTTTCTTTAATTTCCTTTTTGTTTTTCTGTATATGAAGAGGTGGGAAAAGTTTCAGCCTTTGAGCCAAGCAAAATTGTTCTTAGAACAAATTTTGAGATTTTCTGGAACCCTCTAGATTTCTGGAGGCAACACAAAATTGGAGTTTTGACTTAAAGTCATCAATAATTTGAATTCTAAGGTAATTGTAATGTGTGGTTATAAGCGTCCAAACCACTTTATTCCTGAAAATGAAATAGTTCTCTTTTTATCTTTTTCTAGGGGGCATCTAATGAAATGTCACCAACCTAACCAAGAATCATTTACTTTGCTAGATTCTGTATACATATTCTTATAATGTACTTGTGAAGCTTAGAGACTCAAGAAGCTTCAGTAACATCTCTTAATGATGTCTGAAGATGGATACAACACAGATTTTCCAAGAAACCCTCTTTACATCTTCTTTAGTGATTTCAGGTAAAACCATTTTCTTGTATGATTCTGTTTGTGTTCAATCATTAGGAAGAAACTTGAAAATTTGGTTTGGTTTTTGATGTATCAGATCAGTTTTGAAACTTGATGAGCTCGGTTTAGAGATAGCGCGTATAGCTTTACCTGCAGCACTTGCTTTAACAGCTGATCCTATTGCATCTCTAGTTGACACAGCCTTCATAGGCCAAATTGGTAACAACAAGAACAACTCTTTCATATGTTTATTTTTATTTAAAAATGAAAATCATCGGTTTATATCTGGGTTCTTGTTTTGGTGACTATGTACAGGTCCTGTAGAGCTTGCTGCAGTTGGAGTTTCTATTGCTTTGTTCAACCAAGTTTCAAGAATCGCTATATTCCCTCTCGTTAGCATCACAACTTCATTTGTAGCAGAGGAAGATGCTTGTAGTTCTCAGCAAGACACAGTCCAAGATCATAAAGAATGTATTGAAACTGGTATCAACAATACAACGGAGGAAACACAAGAATTGATTCCTGAAAAAAATAAAGGTGTATATTTGTTCTTAGTAACATTATCACTCCTCTGTTTATTTTTCTTTTTGGTAGTAATATCATTAGTATATTCATTTTTATTTCAGATTCTTTATCAGATGAATTTAAAACCGGTAGCAGTATCTTTAGTATTAGTAAACCTCCAGCCAAGAAAAGAAACATACCATCAGCTTCATCTGCTTTAATCATTGGAGGCTTTCTCGGCCTTTTTCAAGCCGTGTTTCTTATATCCGCAGCCAAACCTCTCTTGAGTTTCATGGGAGTTAAACACGTAAAGTATCGATCTTTAGAGCTCTATATATGATGTGATGAGATTCAAAATCTCTTAAGCATGGTGTTATTCTTACAGGATTCTCCAATGCTGAGACCTGCTCAGAGATATCTATCTTTAAGATCACTTGGTGCACCAGCTGTTTTACTCTCACTTGCGGCACAAGGCGTTTTCCGTGGATTTAAAGACACCACGACTCCGCTATTCGCTACTGGTAACACCATTTATATATAATAGGTTCAAAATCCTTGAAAACAGAACAAAGTGATGATCCACTTTTCCTTTTTAAAACTCTTTTGTAGTGATTGGAGATGTCACAAACATAATTCTCGACCCGATTTTCATATTCGTTTTCCGTCTAGGCGTAACAGGAGCAGCCACTGCTCATGTTATATCCCAGTGAGTTTTAATTTCACATGTGAAGCTTGGTTAATCTCTACATCTACTTTAATTTACAAACGGTTTCTATGTTCATTTTCAGATACCTTATGTGTGGAATACTCTTGTGGAAACTGATGGGTCAAGTTGATATTTTCAACATGAGTACCAAACATCTTCAATTCTGTAGATTCATGAAAAATGGTATTGTAAAATACTTCAAAAAAATTCAATGATTTTACAGTGAAATCTCTGATAATATAACACCATTTGGTTCTTGTTTTTCTTGTTTGATTATTCTCTACCAGGCTTTCTTTTGCTGATGAGAGTAATAGCGGTTACATTCTGTGTAACTCTTTCCGCGTCACTAGCTGCACGAGAAGGATCAACTTCCATGGCAGCTTTCCAAGTTTGCTTGCAGGTTTGGTTAGCTACTTCACTTCTTGCAGACGGGTTCGCCGTGGCTGGCCAGGTTTTTAGCTCATGATCTCTCTACTTGTCGCATATTTTTTGTTTAAGCGCGTGGTTTAAAGAAATGGTTTTTCCTTTAGGCAATATTAGCAAGCGCGTTTGCAAAAAAAGACTACAAAAGAGCTGCAGCAACCGCCTCTCGTGTACTGCAGGTACACACAATTTATGCGCTTGTGTTTGTTTAACATGATAAAAAATAACATCAAAAAAGAACTATGTTTAAGTTTGTGGATTTATTTGAAGAAATTATACGAAAATGCAAATTCAAGCAACAGACAAATCGAGGCCTATGTCTAACATAAGCTTAAAAAGATTCGGTTTTCGACCAATTTGAAACTAAACTGAAAACTTAAGGACTATATCTTGTGACAGTTGGGATTGGTTCTCGGGTTTCTACTCGCGGTTATACTTGGAGCAGGATTGCATTTTGGAGCAAGAGTATTTACAAAAGATGATAAAGTTTTACACCTAATTAGCATAGGACTTCCGGTTAGTGATCAATTCCCCTTAAACCACTAATCAAACCAAGATTATGTCATAACATTTTGGCTAAAATCCGTTCTTGCTTCCTACAGTTTGTGGCAGGGACACAACCAATCAATGCCTTAGCGTTTGTATTCGATGGAGTTAACTTTGGAGCATCCGATTTCGGTTATGCCGCAGCTTCATTAGTAATGGTGGCTATAGTTAGCATCTTGTGTTTACTCTTTCTCTCGTCGACTCATGGGTTTATTGGACTTTGGTTTGGTCTCACTATCTACATGAGTCTCAGAGCAGCCGTTGGATTTTGGCGGTAAAACTCTATGAAACTCTCTGTTTCTTGTAGTAAAAAGGTAAAAACTTTATTTATAACAGAATGTGAATGTGACTGTAACAGGATTGGGACAGGAACAGGACCTTGGTCTTTTCTTAGGAGCTGAAGAATGTATTTTAGAGGGAAGAGCATGTTTTAATTGTTCTTAAACCTTTATTTCTAATGAGGTTTTAACTAAATAAAATACTAAGAGTACAAGTCTGGAGATACAATAATTCTATGCGATTTTTACTGCTACTCTTGTAAATATTCAAGTTGTATCCTGTAATTAGAGGTAGTTAGTCCAATTTTTGGTGGTTTTATATCAGATTTTGTAGTTAAATATAGAAAATCGATAAAAAAAAATATACATATAGAAAATGATTTGGTTTTGACTACAGTTTGGATTCAATTTTTTCAAAACAAGTAATTCTAATATAATATTAAATATACGTAAGTAGGATGTCAGTTTTTTTTAAAAAAATTAGTTTCATAAAAATAATATTGTTTTCTATTTTGATACAGATTTGTGATTTTATTTCCCATTACTTCAGTTTATTCCAATGATTTGAGATGATTTTAAAATGTTCTAAAATCAGATTTTATTGGTATAAGTTTCCACTTCTATCAGACATTGAAACTGTTTTCTGTCACTTGACTTCAACTTTTTTTATTTTGTCTTTGGTAATTGACGTTAACCAAACTTTCAGTGATAGAACATTTGTTGTAACTAAATTTCTCTTCTTTAATTTCTTTTTCTCTATTTGAAGAGGAGAAAAGTTTTAGCCTTTGATTCAAGGCTAAATTCGAGTTTGACTTAATGATATAACTTTCATCAATAGCCTTGAACCTGAAATGTATAAACTCTCTTTTTTCTTGGGAGAATCTAAAAGGCATCTAATGAAATGCCATCCAACTAACTGAGAATCATTTTCATATATGTCTGATTTTGCAGACATTCTTTTTACATACTTGTGAAACTCAGAAACAAAAGAAAACTTTAGTAACACTCTTAATGATGTCTGAAAATGTCTACAACACAGATTTTCCAAGAAACCCTCTGTCAATCTTTTTTAGTGATTTCAGGTAAAACATTTTCTTGTAGAATTCAGTTTGTAGTCATGATTAGAAAGAAACTTAAAATTGGTTTTCATTGATGTATCAGGTCAGTTTTGAAATTTGATGAGCTCGGTTTGGAGATAGCGCGAATTGCTTACCCTGCAGCACTTGCTCTAACAGCTGATCCTATTGCATCTCTAGTTGACACAGCCTTCATAGGCCAAATTGGTAACAACAATAGCAACAAAGTCTTTCATTTGCTTAATTTTGTTTCAAAATGGAAATTATTGGTTGTTTTGGTGATGATTTATAGGTCCTGTAGAGCTTGCTGCTGTTGGAGTTTCTATTGCTTTGTTCAACCAAGTTTCAAGAATCGCTATTTTCCCGCTCGTGAGCATCACAACTTCCTTTGTAGCAGAGGAAGATGCTTGTAGTTCTCAGCAAAACACAGTCCAAGATCATAAAGAATGTTTTGAAGCCGGTATTAACAATACAAAGGAGGAAACTCAAGAACTTATTCCTGAAAACATTGAAGGTATGTAGTCACTTCCTTCTCTGCTTTTATTTTTATTCTTTTAAGTAATGATCATTAGTTTGTTTGATTTTTCATTCAGATTCTATATCAGATGAATCTAAAACCAGTAACACTACCTTTAGCGTTAGTAAATCTCCAGTCCATAAGAGAGACATTCCATCAGCTTCATCTGCTTTAGTTATTGGAGGCATTCTTGGCCTTCTTCAATCTGTATTTCTTATATCCGCAGCAAAACCTCTCTTGAGTTTCATGGGAGTTAAACACGTAAAGTATCCATCTACCATCTTTTTGGATCTTTATTGATGTTATGAGGTTGAAAATCTTCTAAGCATGGTTTAAATTTGTACAGGATTCTCCAATGCTGAGACCTGCTCAAAGATATCTATCTCTAAGATCACTCGGTGCACCCGCTGTTCTTCTGTCGCTTGCGACACAAGGTGTTTTCCGCGGATTTAAAGACACGACAACTCCATTATACGCAACAGGTAATGCCATAATCATAATATGGTCAAAGTCCTTGAAACAGAACAAAACTAAAGATCCATTTTTATAAATTATTTCCTATGCAGTCATTGGAGATGCTACAAACATAATACTCGATCCAATATTCATATTCGTTTTCGGTCTAGGCGTAACAGGAGCAGCCATTGCTCATGTTATATCCCAGTGAGTTAGTTTCACTTGAAGCTTGGTTAATCTCAAAATGACCTCTGCTTTAAATTACTACCGGTTTATATGTTCCTTTTTAGATACCTTATGTGTGGAATACTTTTGTGGAAACTGATGGGTCAAGTTGATATCTTTAACATGAGTACCAAACATCTTCAACTCTGTAGATTCATGAAAAATGGTATAGCAAATACTTTGAAAATTTCCAGTGTGTTCATAATGATATCTATGATAAAATAACACCATTTGGTTATTGTTCAGGCTTGCTTTTACTAATGAGAGTAATCGCAGTAACATTTTGCGTGACTCTTTCCGCATCACTAGCTGCACGAGAAGGATCCATTTCCATGGCAGCTTTCCAAGTTTGCTTGCAGGTTTGGTTAGCTACTTCACTTCTAGCAGATGGTTTTGCGGTAGCTGGCCAGGTTTTTAACACATGAGCTCTCTACTCATTGCATCTTTTTTCGATATATTAACCGTGTGGTTTAAATTTTTAACAATTGTTTTTTTTTTCTGAAGGCACTACTAGCGAGCGCTTTTGCCAACAAAGACTACAAAAGGGCTGCAGCTACCGCTTCTCGTGTACTGCAGGTTCACACAATTTCTGCTTTGTATTTTACATTTCCATATGACAAAAAAACATTTAAAAAGGCATACTAAATCTTGTGATAGATGGGATTGGTTCTCGGGTTTCTACTCGCGGTTATACTTGGAGCAGCATTGCATTTTGGAGCAAGAGTATTTACGAAAGACGATGAAGTCTTACGCCTTATTAGCATAGGCCTTCCGGTGATAAATGATCCCCTTAAATCCTTTACTCAAACCAAGATTATGTCGTAACATTTTGGCTAAAATCCGTTCTTGCTTCCTACAGTTTGTGGCAGGGACACAACCTATCAATGCCTTAGCGTTTGTGTTCGATGGAGTTAACTTTGGAGCATCCGATTTCGGTTACGCTGCAGCTTCATTAGTGATGGTGGCTATAATTAGCATCTTGTGTTTGCTCTTTCTCTCATCGACTCATGGGTTTATTGGACTTTGGTTTGGTCTCACCATTTACATGAGTCTCAGAGCAGCCGTTGGATTCTGGCGGTAAAACTCTCTCTATGAAACTATCTGTTTCTTGTAGTAAAAAGGTAAAAACTTAATTTATTACCGAATGTGAATGTGACTGTAACAGGATTGGGACAGGAACAGGACCTTGGTCTTTTCTTAGGAGCTGAAGAATGTATTTTGAAGGGATGAACATGTTTTTAATTGTTCTTAAACCTTTATTTCTAATGAGCTTATAATTAAATAAAAATACAAAGAGTACAAATAATTCTATATTGAGATTTTTACTGCTACTCTTGTTAGATGTTTTCTTTCATCCTTTTATTTTATAAATGTTTTATTTTATGAATGTGGTCACATAAATAAGTTGTATCAATACTATAAAAATAAACTAGATCATCACCCGTACTAAAGTACGGGTTGAATTTTATTTATTACAAAATTTATATAATATATATATTAGAACTAAGTTTTAATATATTATAATAGTAAGTGAAAAATATTAATTTTTTTGTCAGTTCCTATATACAATATTAGAATAAATATATAATTTTTTATATAATACTCATTTATGGATAATTTTTTTTAAGATATGAAAACGGAAAATAATTTTATTTTCTAAAAAGTAATATTTTTTGAACAATGAGTTAATTTATGTTAACAACCACAAAATAGGATTGCATATATTTCAGTTAGATCAAAAATTAAAATATCATAAATAAATAGCATATAAAACATAGAATATTTTGAATTAATTAAGAAAATTAGGTATTATTTTGAATTAATTTAGAATATTCTTTTTCAATTCATAATTCTTTGGTTGTTGAAATCTATACTATTAATTGGGAATCACTAAATAATAAAAGACCTTTAAGTTGTAGAATATTACATAGGATGTCATTGGTTTTTTAAAATTTAAGGAAGGAAAAAAAAAGATCAAAAAAGGACAATTGAGACAATTTGATCATAAAAAGTCAGCGGATCTTGGGTTGACCCGTTGGTATAGTCGGATAGACACGCAGATCTTGGATTAAAAAAAAATCCAAATTAAATCAATAACTTAATAACTACCCTATATTTTTGGAAATCGTTTAAGGAATATGCCATAACAAATCAAGCTATTTAATTATAAACTGTATATATTTAAGGGGGATTAGCAAAAATACCCCTTTTCTCATGCCCCTTTTCAAAAATGCCCCTTTTAGATGTCCATTTTCAAAAATGCCCCTTTTTAAATCTGAAATTTTTATAAAGTTTTATTAGGTTTATAAGGTACTTATGGATTGTAACTACTACTTGAAGACTCGATCCAAGTATTTATAAGGTTTTATAAGGTGTTTTTAAAGGTTTTACAAGTTATTTTAAAGGATTTTTAAGGTTTTTCAAAGGTTTTACAAGATATTTTAAAGGTTTTTAAAGGTATTTAAAATGCATTTATAAGGTATTTATAAAGTATTTATAAGATTTTAGATACATAGAAATGTAGTTTGTGTATGTTTTAATAATATTACATACATATTTGGGTAAATCTTATATTTTTAAGAGCATTTTTTATAAGGTTTTAAAAAAGGGGTATTTTTGAAAAGTGGCATTGAAAAAGTGGCATTATTAACAATTTCCCTATATTTAAACTTATTTATTTTGATAATGTATTATTAGATATTTTGGGAAATGATAATCTAATTTAATATTAAATTAAAAATTTCCTTAACAAAACTATGCTAATTAATTCTGATTAGTACTCACGAAAAAAATTTTAAATTTGATTTTCCAAATATAATAAAAATTTATCATATTTGTCATATATTATCTAAACTAACTACTTCCATCCTTTAAAATATATCATATTCAACAAATAATTTTTGGATTTAGATTTGTAAATATCTAGAAAATATTTACAGTATAGATTAAAATATTTTAAATTTTAATCAGAATTTAAATGATATAAAATTTTGAATTTTTTTTTAAACGGGTAGTTTTCATTATATTATAAATATATCACTAAATTAAATTTGAATTATATATTAAACGTGTTATAATAGTTACTATATCTCCAAATTATATTTTTAGAGCCATAGAAATTTATCTATTTCAAATCAAATTGTTACAAACTTTTGGAATATACATTCTTCTAAATTCGATTATTTTCTTTTCAAAAAACATTAAAATAAAATGTAAATACCAACTTTTAAAATTTTTAATACAAATATTTGAAAATGAGAAAATATTGACTCACCCCAATATTCTTATTTAATTATTTATGTAATCTATGTTTTTATGGATTATTAATTTCAAATGTTAGCATCAGCGATTAAGTTTCTTATAAATTTTCGAATATTGACTTTACAATTTAATTTACGCAATCTCCAAGTTTTTAGGGTAGTTTTCCATATTATATTCTATTGAAATAAACAATATATGCTTCAAAATAATTTTATTTAAAGATTGTTATCCTAAAAAATGAAGCATATTCTGCGAATTTGTTTCAAAAAATCTTCAAATTTTTTTCCTTTAAATGCTGACTTTCTTGATGATATATATATATATATATATATATATATATATATATAGGGTATGTTTGCATGTTTATCACTCACTAATCATCTCTTCTTTTCCTTTCTATTGCTCTATCGTTCTCATTTTCTTGATTGTTAAGTATGTTTTGAAAGAAGCTTATTCGATTACTAACATTACTTGCAATTGTTTTTTTTTTTTTTTTACACTCGGTCATGTATTTGGTGAAAATGAAAACTTGTGATGTTTCTAACAAGCCTACAGAAAAAAAAGTAGTTTGAACTTAGAGATTCTAAGGTATTTTTTATCTTTCACGTGTTTTAATATTTTAAATTAGTAAGTATTTTATATTGTAGTGGTGATTATTTACCATGTACTATATAGGTGGGATCTCTATCTCTCAGAATGCTGGTGATGAGGTGGTGGTGTGTATAATTTGCCTCTCCAAAATCAATACATTATACATGGAAAATGTATATTATTCTTTGTAAAAGAGATTATCCCTGTTTAAAATGTATAGATATTTATTCAAACTCTTTAATTGATTTACAAGTAAAAGATCAGTATCAAACTCCTTTGACATGTCTCTCTTGGAGATCAAACCTAATTCATGTGGCTAGAGAGTTTTTCTCCATTTATGTAAAAATATCGACGGATGAATCCATTTTTTTTTTTTTTGGTTAAGTTTCTAATTAATTATTTCTATTTGGTTAAGTTTATTTGGTTTTCATTTTTTTAGATTCCAGTTTCCTATTAATAAAGGTTCCAGTTTGTTATTAATAAAGATTTGTTTTTTCAATTAATTTCATTTTTTTGAATTCTACAATTTTCTTTGTACATATTATTATAATATATACACTACAATATATATTACTAAAACAAAACAAAAAACTATATTGAATGTAAATTTTATACAACACATTTTTTTAAATATGAAATCCCGCACGTACGTGCGGGTCATGATCTAGTAGATATTTGTTTGAGCTAATCTAATTACAGAATTTGTTTGAGATTTATAATTACGGAATTTACCAATTATTCGCATAATCGAATATGTTATAAACATATATTTAGTATATAATAATACCAAAATCAACCCGTGCGTGGAGTCTATATTTTTATTTTAGGATCTCAATATTTCATTTTAAAATATTGCGTGCACAATCTATTATTCGTTAATTCTAAAATTGCTTGCGGAATCAAATTTTCAAATATTTAGAGGTGTCAAACCATATTTAAATGTTCTACACTATTTTTAAATATTCCAAATTAAAATCTTTAAATTTTTTTGTAGTTTATAAAATTATGAATTTCAAAAAACATATTATATGAAATTAAATATAACTATTCAAATAGTTATAAGGATCAAAACTCATTTCATCATATAATATATTATATTTAACCCGTTACCTATTATAAATATTTTTAAAAATAATCAAATTAGAGTATTTATAATTTTTAACTTTTGAACTATTAAGTTTTGATGATATTCTCTAAAAATATCAAGTAAAACTTATTTTAAATGTTGCAAATTAAAATATTTAAATTTTTATTGTAGTATATAAAATTATACATTTCAAAAAATAAATATATGAAATCGAATATAAATATTCAAATTCTGACCCGTTGCTCAGTCGGAATTTTTGTTGACTTTATTTTTGTGTAAAAAAAATATATTAGTCACGTCTGAATTTTTGACCCGTTTAATTGTTTCCTTTATAGATTGAACAATTTATATGCGTTTTTAAAAATTCAAATCTTGGCATATGCAGAAAAAAATTTACTTTTTTTTTTATTATGTAGATGATATGATGATTTATTTGTTTCATATTAATATAATCATATAAAGATGAGAGGTGAAGTTTAATGATTAATAACAAATTAATATGGTAAGTTAGATATCAAATCTTATATGTTCATTTTGATTGGCCATTTAAAAAAATAATAATAACAGATTTCCTTTTTTTAATTTAATTAAATTAATTAAATGACATAAATTAGTATTTTACTTGTTTATCCTTAATAAATTGAATTAAATTTGTTTTAAAATAAGCTTTTTGTAATGGCATTCTCATGTAATTTTTTACAAAAGAGAAGGTTAGTTAAGGGTATCTTATAAAGTGTATTCCCCAAATAATAGTATAGGATATCGTAAAGTTTCTCAAATAAAAAAATTAAAATAAAATAAATAAAACACTAATAATAGGGACTATGTTTAGAAAACTCTCTTCTTCAACATGATTGGCTCATAGCTACCCTCAATTATTAGTTTTAAAACAAAAATAAAAATCCAATCTTTATTAGCGAAATTAAAAAAAAAAGGTGGAAACCTTTACGGAACTCCTCTGCCATTCTTTTCCAATCTAAGCCAAAACTCAATTTCCCTTTTTTCCGATTTACCGGAGAAACTAAATCTCCGTCATGCCTACCACCACCTCCTCCGCCTCTTCTTCCTCCTCCTCCGTCTCCGGTAACAATCGTCAAGCCGATGTATTCTCTCGTCTCGCTTCTTCTGACCCTGAAGTCAAGCTTAAGGCCCTTCGTGAGGTCAAAAACCAGATTATCGGAAATCGCACAAAAAAGCTCTCTTTCCTCAAACTCGGAGCTATTCCCGCCATAGCTTCTGTTCTCGCTGATGCTGACGATTCTGATAAATGTAATAACATCCTCGTCCAATCTGCGGCTGCGATTGGTAGTTTCGCTTGTGGGTTTGAAGCCGGAGTTCAAGCTGTTCTTGACGCCGGAGTTTTCCCTCATCTTCTTCGTCTTCTCACTAATCCTGACGAAAAGGTTAGATTTTTATAAAGTTATTGACTTTTTGTAAAAAGTCTAATCATTTTCCCCCAAATTTGTGTCTAGATTCGAAATTACATTAGAATTACTTGTGGGTCTTTGACAAGAAGCGTGAATGATTTGGAATTACTCTGTCTGATCTTATTAGTTTGGGACTTGTGGTAAAAGTTTTCACCTTTTGGATTGTCTGCATCTGGAGGAGTTAAAGCATTGGCCTTTAGAATTTTGTTGATCCTCTCTTGTGTTGCTTTCTTATCGTTTCCTTATTGCTTCTGTTTCATATTTATGATTCTTCTTCAGGTAGTAGATGCAGGGGCTCGTTCGCTTAGAATGATATTTCAATCTAATCAAGCTCCAAAGTATGATTTTCTTCAAGAGAAAAACATGGAGTTTCTTTTCTCATTGTTGAATAGCGAGAATGAGAATGTTAGCGGGCTTGGTGCGAGCATTATTGCTCATGCTTGTGGAACAAGTGTAGAGCAACGGGTTCTCTGTGAAGCTGGTGTGTTGGAGAAGCTTGTTATCCTTCTTGATGGTTCTTTAAGCCAAAGAGAAGCTTGTCTTGAATCTTTAGCCACGGTTTTGAAGAATAATCCTGAAGCTGTTTCGGACTTTGTTGGACTCGAGTCCGGGAGATATTTTAATTCTGTAACTGAGTTAACAAAGGATAGGTATCCGAGGACTAGGCTGCTTTCTTGTCTCTGCTTAGTTGTCATATACAACACTTCTCCGTCTTATTTCGTAAACATGGGAACCAAATCGAGTTTGATAACTACTCTGCTTGACCTTCTTAATGACCCCGGTCAATCTGGAGATGATGCTGCCTTGGGTTTATCTTGTCTGATTGCGGGAAAAGAGGATTTACAACAGTTAGCTTACGAGGCCGATGCAATCAAGAATATTGTTGACATCTTGAAGACAGATAGTGAGCTCCAGGCTAAACGTCTTCAGGGTTTGTTTTTGTCTCTTGCTGAATTGTGCTCAAAGCTGGAGGATTGCAGGTGTAGCTTCCTGTCATTGCAGGTGTGTTTCCACATGCCGTTTTCTGATTGTATATCCGGTTAGTTTAGTATTTATTTTTTAGATGCTGAATTGGTTTGTCTTTTTTTCCTTCTACTAGGTGTTAGACCTGCTGACTAATGCCCTAAGACACAAAGATGCTGATGTAAGAGCTGCGGCGTGCATTTGCTTTAGAAACGCTGCTCGATCCGTCAAGGTTAGTTAACATTATACATTTCGCATGTTATTAGTGTTTCAGCTGGCTTTGTATTAAGTGGTAAGTTCCCTGAGACATGTCATTTAGAGTTTGAGTGCAGGACGATTCAACAGCGATCATGTTATGCTTCCTTTGGTTCAGTTATTGCATGATCCATCTTCCTCTGTCCAGGTACTGTCTCACATAAGATGCCACATTTCTTTGACTTAGTTTCCGATGTGATTTTTTCTTTATGAGCAAACCGCACAACCGATTTGAATATATATACCTATATATTGTGGACCAGGTTGCAGTTCTTGGTGCTCTGAGCAATATAGTATTGGATTTTTCATCACCAAAGTCATCATTTATCGAGTATGGTGGAATAAAACAGCTTATTGAGTTGTCAAAATCAATGGATCCAAATGCTCGGTGTAGTGCTTTACGGGCTTTAAGGAACCTCATGTTCCTTGCTGACAATAAACGTAAAGAACTCTTTTGTTCAGACGTCAAGGCTCAAGGATTTGCTTGCCTCATTAGTGGTAAATCATTCTACGTCAAACCAAAATCATATGATTCATCTTTATGAAATTTCTTTTGTCAACTAACAAATAAACTTATTTCCCTCAGATCCTGAGCCCCCAGTGCAAGAGCAAGCTTTGGCCCTCCTTCGTAATCTTGTTGACGGATGTATCAGCTCTATCGAGTTCGTATTTGATGAAGATGGTCTTATCTTAGATACTGTTGGGAGGCAATTGAGGAAAGCTCCACAAGCTCAAATGGCAATACAGGTGACAAAAAAGAAAAAAAGTATACCATATCAATAGATTAAGGAAATCTCTGATACAAATGTTTTTCTTTCCCCAGGGAATGTATGTGCTCACGAATGTAGCGAGTGGGACTGAGTTACATAAAGAAGCGGTTATGCAGCAACTGTTTCCCCAAGCCAAAGCTGGATCAGAGAATTTCATGCTTAAGTTTCTGCAGAGTGACGAGAGCCAGTTACGGTCAGCAACAGTTTGGACAATCATAAACCTCATTAGTCCTTCAAGTCCAGGTGCATTTGATCGGCATGTGAAATTACGGAATGCGGGTATCATTCCCCAGTTAAAGAACATGGTCAATGACGCTTGCCTCGATGTTAAGGTACAAATTTATTGCTCTTTTAGTTACCTTGTATACTTAATTTCTTATCATTGACTCAGCTATGTTCTTTCAAACTCTTTGGCATTGCAGATTCGCATCAGAACCGTATTAGGCCAGTCCATGTCTTTTGGCGATAATTACTAAACACAGAGACATTACTTTTCCCAATCCCATACAACATTGAACATATCAGTAGTGATTTAGGTTTGATTCAATTTTCAGCATATAGCAAAAGAGAGACAGAGCCTAGAGTTTATGATCATGATCATCTATTATCTCTCCTGTTCCGGAACACACCTATGATTCAACAGGTACTTGCTTTCTCGGGCTCGTTCTTTTCATTTCTAGTTACCCGAAATGGCCAAAACTGGAACCGCGTACACCGAACACTTGATCAGAGCATTTTTAAAATCATAATCTTAGGATATATTCATTTGCTTACCAATGATGTTATGTATTTCAAATACTGGTGATGTTCTGTTCTGTTTAACAAAACAGTTTTTTTTTGTGTGTGCAGGTGAAAGCAGTGAGAAAGAGTTGTACTATTACTTGTGAGTTGTGATACATTTTAGATTAGATCCACCACATTTTTGTTTTGTTTTTTTTTTTGTTTTTTTGCCTTGAAAGAACTTCACTTATTTGTAATCTCTCAGTTTATATCAAAAATCAAAAACATTTGAGTTTTGTATCAGTAATTTTTTTCCTCGTCAATACCAATAATTTATGGTAATGTTACAAAATTAATCTTTTATTTTCGCATTTTGACATTCAAATGACGCACGACCTATTAACCTTTCGTGACAAAACATAAAATCAAAATGGCTTCATACAAATAATGAAATATTTTTCACACTAAACCAAAATAATACTGCGATTGACATATATAATGGTTACATACATCCTTAATTCAAATTTCTTTAACTAGCGAAACGATTAGAATTGGCAGCATAAGCAGTAGAAAACAACAAATACATAAAGCATATTGTTGTCCTCTATTTTCTGTTCTGTAGTAACTTCAGAACTATTTTATCCGTGCACTGCTAAGTTTTTTTTAACTGCACCGCTTTAAAACTTTTGTCATAAACCAGACAAAATAGTATAGAGACGTCTAAATAATTAGTACTAAATGTTTGTCTTTATGTAAAATGGCCTTTGAGAATCTAACTCGCCGTATGTGCACAGTGAATCCTATGTTTTGGATCCCCTGATAAGATCCAGCCTCGACTACTGAGTAGCTTTTTTTTTGCTATAAAATATTTCTCTCGTATATAAAAAAAATTGTATCGAACAGTTACCACAACTGAATAAATTCAAATTGTTAAGAAAAATCTCTATATATACATATACACAATTGTATGCTATATATACATATTAATTTCTCTCGTAAAATAAAAAAAAAAAAAAAATCGAACAGTTACCAGAATCGTATAAATTCATATTTTATATATACACATTTTTAAAAAAATTGCAGAGACAAGAATCTCAACTAAACCCAAAAAGGGTTAGTTGGTTCAAATAATAGGGTTAGTTGAAGTGTAGAAACCCCATGCATATATGCATTGAATTTAAATTCCATCCCATCCCATTCCCACGTGAGTTTATATTATTGCATCAGTTTTTGAGTTAAATGATATTTTATTATGCAGTTCTTTATCATTTTATTAAGAAAAATATCGTAAGGCTATAAACAATATGCAACAATTATAATTACCACCTAATACCTTATACCTCCAAAGTGTTTTTGAAGACAAAAAACATCTTAATCATCAAATTTGAGACTCTTCTCTCGGGACCTCTCCCTTCCTTTAAGTATTTTCCTTTCCCATTTCTAGTTAAATATGGGACTGTTGTCTTGTTTTTTGTTAAATAATACACATATGTTCAAAGGTTCTAAGTTGTGGATGTATTTGTATATGCATGTGACAGCATGCCTACATATATATATGGGTAATAGTAATACTACACACAATATAAACATAAACAAAAGAAATTGTTAACATTTAATAATTAACGTCTTCATTGGCAAAAAAAAAAAATAAAAAAAAAAATAATTAACGTCTTCACATATGCATTTGAGTATATAAATCTTACAAATAATGTTAAGATGGATTCTTGAAATGGCTTCCTAGCTAGCAAAAAAGAAAGAAAGTAATGTTATAGCAAATATATATAGTGTTTGTCTTTTACCGCAAACTTAACATGCATTCGAAACAACAACACAACAGATAATTTCTTCCGTAATTTGATACCATCTTCTTTGAGAAAAGTGTTTTCTTCTTAATTTAATATTGTTGAAATTATTTTATTGGTACATGTTAAAAGGAGATCTACATGCTGGTTTGTTTTTCTTTATCTTCTTTTTCTTGATATATTCATCTCGATTCTTTTAGCTTATTAGGGGACAACCAATTAAATAATATATACCTTTTTTTCAAATATCATTTACAAACATACTATCACATTAGGAACAAAATTCTTGATAAATATTTTATTATTAGGAAAATCATATTGCGGTAATCGTTTAAATAGCATTTTCATAAAAATGAATGGAAAGTGATATTAATATTGAAAAACGACTGTGAAATGACGAGATAATTGATAATTCTAAAACACTATTATTTTATCATATATATTTTTTCTTCTATGAATATTTAAATGAAAAGAAGAAAATAAAGCGTACCCATTTCACATTTCACAGTGACTTACATGCATTGATCGTCCATCAAAAAGAAACCCTTTCTCTTTAGTTTCCAAATACTAAGCAATCTCTTCTTTTTTTTTACCTTTTTCTTTCTTGGCTTTTTCTTCTCCTCTGATAGAAACTTTTTCCAGTCAAAATTTAAGAACTCTAAAGTAAAACTCCACTAAGGTTTATACACACTCTTCATATATAGATTCACATTCACCCATTTCCATTTTTTTTCTTGCTCTCTCTCTCTCTCTCTTCTCTCTTATCTTTGGTCTCAAAAATGGCATCAAAGGGAAAGAAACCAATAAAAAAAACAACTACAAGAAGAAGAAAAAGAAGCCACTTCAAGAACCCATCTCCTCAGTGCCGTGCCTAGGCTTTGAGAGGCCTAAGGCAACTTGTAAATTATGTGGCCTTTTAAATTTTTTTACTTATCACTCAAATTGTTGTTTTTAACAAAATATGATTTAAAGCACTATAAAATCATTGTAGTTAATGTATTTTACAATTTTACAACTCCATAACATGTAACAAAAAAGGAAAAACAAATTCTAATGTGCAGCTTAGTATGTGTATGTAAGGATTAATAATAGATATACATGTATTTTTAAGAAATGATTTCAAAGTATGATATTATGGAAGATTTCATCATATAATCTAATTACACTGATTAAAAAGTATATATAGAAATGTGGCCTCTAAAATGTTAATATTTCATGTGGCCTTAGGCAAATGCCTTTTTAATTACCCTATAAGCACGGCTCTGCATCTCCTCCATGTAGTATCAATAGTGACGTCACTTCAACGTCATCAACATCTACTTCTCCCACTTCAACGGCCACGCCATCTACGATTCCAGTAGAGAGTGGATGTTGTACTCCGAAATCTGAGAAGTCACGAATACCGGAGATGCTGACGTGTCCGCCGGCGCCGAAGAAGCAAAAGGTGGCGCAAAACTGTGCTTTGAGGAGGAGACAAATAGCTTTCTTTGCTCCTCCGGATGTAGAACTCTTCTTCGTTTTCGCACTTGGTCAACAAATCAATAAATAAGTTAAGTTTATAATTAGGGTTTTGTGATTATATATTATCATGGTATCAATATCTAGTTTCTAGTTTGATTCAAATACAATAATATTTTAAGTATATTATAGAGAGTGTAGTGTGAGGTTTTGCTTCTTTTTTCTTCTTCTTATTTTGCTTTTCTCCATCTTTGGTTTTTTTTTTTTCATACTCTTTTGGATAATTTTGAATTAGGTGGCTTTGAATTTGTGGTAGGGTATAATTAATCAAATACCCTATCTCTTTTTTAGTAAGTTATTTTGTATTTTTGTAACTGAATGGTGCTTCCTAACATTTCAGACTTGTTAGCTTTGCAGTTTTGTTGTTTGTATTTTGGTTTGTGTTAATTACGACTTGGATTGTTACTTTATGGTTCTCCTCAATAATTTATTCGTAATATCTCATCAAAAACAAATTCCATAAAAAGTACTTGTGAATCTATTTCGTTTCCATATTGGGGTACATAAATATGTAATGAAATGATTTTATTAGAGTGATATGAGCTCAAATTCAAAACTTTTGATCCGAGTTCAAAATATGTCAAGTTCGAAAGAAAAGAAAAGTTTATAAAGTTAAAAATTAGTGGATGCAGAATAATATGTACACAAAAGTTTTGGATATAATCCAAAGTTATAAAAGGATTCAACTGTTTCTTATTGGATATAAAGTTTATATAAAAATTGAAATTTACTGCCCAAATCTATTTGTAAATTATATAAATGATCTTAATTATTGTACTGTAATTATATAAATTGAATTTAGTTATAGGTTAAAAACAAAAAATACACAACAACAAGAGGCGAAGGATATGTCAGTTTAACCAAGGGATGGCCAAAGTGTCGGAGCTGACGATAACATCTCCGAAGGGAATCCAATGAAAGGACTCGTGCGGCTTTTTTCATCATTTTTTCTCTTTTCTTTTCTTTTTTTCTCCCACACTTCCTTTTAAGAGCAAAATTAATAATTATAAGTTATAACGAATGTATAAAAAAACTATATCTAAATATAGAGTAGGTAAGAAGACGACACAACAATAGCTATGTTGATAATATCTACGTGATTTATAATAATTCATGTTTCCCATCATTTAATTATTTCTTTTCGAATTATTGCTACAAAATCTTGGGAGTTCAATAATGTGGATAAATCATAAAATGACGTACGAATCTCATGATTGAGAACTAGAAACTTACACCTCTACGTGCATTATTTATTCGTTTCTACGTCAATTAATAGGTCACTTGAGAGTTGAGAATGTACAACATAGATGGGAGAATCTGCAGTACAAAAAAAATCATAATGTTTTGCTAATATATTGGACCATTATGCTAATATACTTGTCGTTTCAAAAGTAACCTTGTAGTCCATTTAAATATTAATCAATCGTAACCTTTTACTCAAAATACTTTCACCAAATAAAAAGTAATAATTTTAAAAATATTTTAACTGCGTATTTGGAACTGAGATTACTCCCAAGTCCTAAGTCCCAAGTCCCAAGTATATACGTAGGCTCATATAGCTAGGGTGGCATAATTTCAATTAATCATACTTAACGAAGTTCTTCCATTGGTTACGTACAATATTAGTAATTCTAAAAGTAGAGTAATAGTATATACCAGCGAGTGTAAGAAAAGTATTCGTATATTCGTGCAAGGAAGATCTCGCATGTGTGCATATTATCACACACGTACAAACAAAAATCCAATTAGGTACCTAAAAGCTACAAATCACATTGGAATGAGGATTAGATTCGAGTCCGTATCAATTTCTTTTGGTTTTTCGCTTTTTGTCTTTGTATTATTAATTATACGTCGTCCCAAAATAAACACCAAAAAATCATTAAACTATGAAATAAAGTTAGATAATCAACTAACCAAATAATAAAGCTACTAATCGTACGTTTATGTCAAAGCTGATTAAACTTTACAAGAATCCTAGGTTATATTCTCCCCTACAAACAAACACACATGTTAGGTACATAATGGGCCTGTAACGTTACGTTAAGTTACCCATTAAGGCCCAATTACAATAAAAATCAATATCTCTAAAATTATTTCAAATAAAAAAATAAGTGGCCAAAATTACGAAACCAATCCATCTCTTCTCCGTCGTCGTTACCATGTCTTCAATCGTCGAGCACGTCGTTCTATTCAAGCTCAACGACGTTGACTCCGGCAAGATAAACTCCATGGTCAACGGACTCAACGAACTAGTCAATCTCAACCAAGTGCTTCACCTCTCTTGCGGTTCAATCCACCGCCTTAGCTCCACCACCGCCTCCGACTTCACTCACGTCCTTCATAGCCGTTACAGATCTAAAGAAGATCTCAACGCTTACGCAATCCATCCCGATCACGTTCGTGTTGTCAAGGAATCTGAATCGATTCGCGAAGATATCATGGCCGTTGATTGGATCGCCGATCAAGTTCCGGAAACCCTAGCACCGCCTCCTGGTTCAATTGGTAAAATCACGCTTCTCAAGGTGAAAGAGAATGTCTCCGATGAAGCGAAATTGGAGATTATGGAAGTGATTAAGGAGAAATCTCAAGGAAGTGATCAGATTACTACTGTTGGAGAAAACTTTTCTCCGGGGAGAGCTAAAGGTTTCTCTATTGGATCGATTTCGTATTTTAGGGATTTTGGTGAAATTGAAGCTGTGGATGATCAGATGAAGTTGCAGAAGGAGAAGAATCGTGAATATATTGATGATACCATTGTTGTTGAGTTCGTGGTACCGTCTTCTTCTTCACAAGCTATCTAAAGTGTACAGTACCTGTAAAAAAAGAAAAAAAAAAGTGTACCTGTAAAATGCTCCAATTTCATTCCTTAACCGAAATTTGAAACCGGTTTGGTCTGCGGTGTACTTTCGGCGGCGGAATTTCGTCGATTACAGGGGTTGACTGGTTGCCGTCGTATGTATTAAATAAATCTATTTTTTTTTTTCAAACACATTTCAAAAGCTCATAGTGGGCTTTTTGCTTGAAGCCCATTTACGTCTGTATTAATCATATTGTCTATCTGACTGACTTGTCTTGATTTTGAATGATAGAGAGATTCAGAGTGGAGACTGGAGAGTTATGGAAGGAGTTTTTTTTTTTTTTTTTTTTTTTTTTTTTTTTTCATTTTAAATTTCCATAGAAAAAACTAAATTACAAGGCCAAAGGGCCCAACACGGCCACATGCCCAAAAAAGAAGCAAATTACAAGACCAAACGGCCCAACTCGGCCACAGGTCCAAATAACACAAAGCAAAAAGGCTCAAACAACCTGCGGGACCAACGAGACCAACCCTGCAGGAAAAACCCAGAAAAACGACGAGAATCTGGTTTGTTAGAGCATCTCCAACCCACCTCTATATTTGCCTCAAAACTCTATTTTAGAGGCAAATCTACTCCAACCTACCTCTATTCTCACCTCTAAAATAGAGATCTCTATTTTTTTTCTCTATATATAGAGGTGAGAATAGAGAATCTCTATTTTTTTCCCTATAAATAGAGTTAAACTTTTTAGAGGAAAAAATAGAGGAACACATTGGAGTAAAAATAGAGAAAACTTACCTCTATTATAGAAATAGAGTTAAAAATAGAGAAATACATTGGAGATGGTCTTAGGAGGAATATGAACACAATTGAGTATTACCGGGTTAGTCAAATAAGACTTTTGGTTTATTGGGTCTTGCGTTGCCATTTAATTATCTTCGTGCTTTATCGTTTCAGACCGGACAAAACCGAGTTGATCCAATATGACGAACACTACACACCGTTTTCATCAAGCCCAACTGGCAAGGCGTTTGCAATTGAAATTGTGTCCAAAAAGGAGTGGAAAAGGCCAATTCGACCGCCATAAATTCTCAGTGGTTAAAAGGCACTTGGATCGATGGTGCCTTAGGGTTCATTGATCATCTTGCTACATAACCGTGGAGGAAGACGAATAGGTTAGATCTGCCGAGGTAATTAAACTTCAATCCGGTGAGTTCCTTCTTCTTCTTCTTCTTCTTTTAACTGTTTCTTGATTATTAATACAATTTATCTCGTATTTCACTCGTTGGATGGTTGTTTCTGTGACTTTCAATATTAAGTCTTGTTAAATTTGATGATGCAGATTATGTATAGTTGTGTGAAGAAAAGAGAATTGGTGGGTAGAAAGAAGAAAACCAAAATATGTGACAAAGTGTCACATGAGGAAGATAGGATAAGCCAGTTACCTGAACATTTGATATCTGAAATACTTTTTCATCTTTCTACCAAGGATGCTGTCAGAACAAGCGCTTTGTCTACCAAATGGAGATATCTTTGGCAATCGGTTCCTGGATTGGACTTAGACCCCTACGCATTCTCAAATACCGATACCCTTGTGAGTTTTGCTGAAAGTTTTTTTGATTCCCACAAGGATTCATGGATACGCAAACTCCGGTTAGATTTTGGTTATCAACATGGTCTGTATGATCTCATGTCATGGATTGATGCTGTTCCTACGCGTATGATTCAGCATCTTGATGTTACTTGTTTTCACGCTGATAAGATACTCCTGAGCATATATACATGCGCGACACTGGTACAGTTACAACTCCGTTGGGCTGTCTTGACTAATCCCGAGTTTGTTTCCTTACCTTGTCTGAAGATCATGCATTTAGATAATGTTAGCTATCCCAGTGAGACCACGTTGCAGAAACTTATCTCAGGCTCTCCAGTTCTGGAAGATTTAATACTCATCAGCACTTTGTACCCTAAGGGAAACGTTTTACAATTGCGCTCTCATACGCTAAAGAGAATCGATATCAATGAGTTTATTGATGTTGTGATTTATGCACCTCTACTCCAGTGTGTGAGGGCTAAGATGTACTCAACAAAGAACTTTCAGATCATCAATTCGGGTTTCCCTGCTAAACTAGATATTGATTTCCTCTATTCTGGTGTGAGATACCCTAAAAACGTCATTCGAGATATCCTCATCGATATTTCGAGGGTCAGGGATCTAGTTATTAGTAGTAATACTTGGAAGGTATACATCTCAACGTTTGAGCATATTTACCTAAAAATATCCCTCTACAAAAGTTTCTAACCATAACATCTTTTTGTTCACTTACGTTACCAGGAATTCTTTCTATACTCTAAGTCAGAACCAGTGCGTCAGTTTCGTTACCTATCCCATTTGAATGCTAGATTTTATATATCTGATCTTGAAATGTTGCCAACCCTTCTTGAGAGCTGCCCAAAACTAGAATCTCTCATATTGGTAATGAGTAGCTTTAACCCTCCTATTTACACATATTATTTGTGATAGCCTCTTATATGTATCTCTCTACTCCATTTGTTTTATTTTATTTGTTCCTGTTTTTGCAGGAAATGGTCAAGAAGCAATCCATGGGACGTCATGAGGAGAAGAGAGAACCAAATGTGATGTTTTCAACAGTGCCTCGGTGTTTGGTATCATCGCTCAAGTTTGTGGAATTGAAACGTTCAATCCCAAGGTATGAAGGAGAAATGGAGCTAGTAAGATATTTCCTGACGAATTCAACAATCCTGAAGAAATTAAGGCTCAATGTTTACTACACGAAGAAGGCAAAGTGTACCTTCCTTACAGAACTCGTTGCAATACCAAGATCCTCTAGCACATGTGAAGTCCTTGTTCTTTAATTACTCGAAAGATATTGCTCAACTTTTCGTTTAAGGTTAGGCTTTGAGCCACATGTAATACTCAAGCTCGAAAGCTCACATAGTGGGCTTCAAAAGCCCATTTAAACGGAAGTGACGACGTTTGTTTTTCTGAATTTTCGAAGATTTGTAAAACGACGAGTAATAAATCAGAACCCCTAAAGGCCTAAACCCTTCTTCTCCAGACACTTTCCTCTTCAAACTCCAAACCTGCAATAAGAAAATCTATTTGATTTCTCTTGATTTTAGTAGAAAGAGAGATTCATAACTGAGAATTTATGGCGGCTGCGAAAGGGAAAATCGAAGGAGCTTTGGATGAAGAGAATCTGGTCTTTGAAACCACCAAAGGGATCAAACCCATCAAGAGTTTCGATGACATGGGGATGAATGATAAAGTTCTTCGCGGCGTTTACGATTACGGTTACAAGAAACCATCTGAGATTCAGCAGAGAGCTTTGGTGCCGATTCTAAAAGGAAGAGATGTTATAGCTCAGGCTCAGTCTGGTACTGGTAAAACCTCCATGATTGCAATCTCCGTTTGCCAAATCGTCAACACTTCTTCCAGAAAGTACGTCTCTTTTTTCCCGGAGATTGAAAACAAATTAAAACCCTTTTTCAGATTTCCGATTTAGGTCACTACAATTCATTAGAATTACATGATTTATGATCTTGCTTTGTGCTTAGATGCTGCAAAATCTGTTTTTTTTTTCCTGCTTTACTAAGTCAATTGGTAGTCTATTAAGTTGAGGAACATTTACGTTAAGGCTGCAATAGCTGTTTCTGCAATTTACTTATCTACTTGGTATTACATGGTTAATGATCTTGCTTTGTAATTCGTGAGGAAGACTTACTTTTAGGCTGCAAGATATGTTTTTTACGCTTTAATAATTGACTTGGTATTACATGATTTATGATAATTAGGATGGGGAAGGCTTGCTCTGTGGTATCTTTGATTTTACTAATGAACTTGTTCTAACATTTTCGGATTCAAGGGTTCAAGCCTTGGTGTTGTCTCCATCAAGAGAACTGGCTTCACAGACAGAGAAGACTATACAGGTTATTGGGGCACATACCAATATTCAGGCGCATGCCTGTATTGGTGGTAAGAGCATTGGAGAAGATATCAAGAAGCTGGAGCGTGGTGTCCATGCTGTGTCCGGGACACCTGGTCGAGTTTACGATATGATAAAGAGAGGAAGTTTACAAATTAAATCTGTTAAACTTTTGGTTCTGGATGAATCAGATGAAATGCTGAGTAAAGGTTTGAAAGACCAGATTTATGACGTTTACAGAGCTCTTCCACACGATATTCAGGTTTCAATCTCAACTGTTCAGATAATTACTAGATTCTAGTTTGTATGGTAATGTGAAGCTAATACAGTTGGTTTATAGGTTTGCTTGATTTCTGCTACTCTTCCTCAAGAGATTTTGGAGATGACAGAAAAGTTTATGACAGATCCTGTGAGGATTCTTGTGAAGCCTGATGAATTGACTCTTGAAGTAAGTTTTTCTTCTGCCATTTTTATGCTTTAAGTTTTAGTTTTGTCATGAAAAGCATAAGTTACAACTTTTTGTTCTATAGGGAATAAAACAATACTATGTTAATGTTGATAAAGAAGAGTGGAAATTTGATACTCTTTGCGATCTTTATGGAAGGCTTATTATTAATCAAGCTATTATCTTCTGCAACACAAGACAAAAGGTAAAATACCGTTACTCATGTTCTTAATCTTTGGTTCCTATATCTTTTGTTGATAATCTTATACCTTTGATCTGCGTTTTTTATATCTACAAAAGGTGGATTGGCTTACTGAAAAGATGAGGAGTAACAATTTCATAGTCTCATCAATGCATGGAGACAAACGTCAGAAGGAGAGAGATGAAATCATGAACCAGTTTCGGTCGTTTAAAAGCCGTGTTTTAATCGCCTCAGATGTATGGGCACGAGGGATCGACGTTCAAACTGTATGTTCTATCTCTCTCTCTCTCTGCCTTTTAACTATCAATGACAATGTCACAAAAAACTTTCATGTTAACATTAGAAACCTTGATGTACTAGGTTTCTCATGTCATTAATTATGATATACCCAACAACCCGGAGCTATACATTCATCGTATAGGACGAGCGGGTCGTTTTGGTCGTGAAGGTGTTGCTATTAACTTTGTAAAATCTTCAGACATGAAGGATCTTAAGGATATTGAGCGACATTACGGTACCAAAATCCGCGAGATGCCAGCTGATCTTGTCTAGAGATTTTGTTTCCTTGAAGCTGAAGCTAAAGTTTTGTCCTTCAACTTTTTTGTTCTGAACTCCATTGTCTTAGATTTAGGCATAAGCTCTTTGAGACAATGTGCATCTAAAATGTATACTTCACTTCGTTCTTGTAGCACCCAAAATATTATTGTAGCTATTTATACATTTGAAATTTTGTTCTATTTAGAAATTACGATGATTTGGTTTGGTTTGGTTGAACTGTACCATCGACGTAATAAGAAATTGCAGAAATTTTGGTTCGGGTTTATTCCGGTTCAAGTAATTGACGGTAACGGTAATGGCATCTCACGGTAGATATATAACGGCCACGTCGTCGCCGTAAGCAGAGGCTTCTCTGATCAATATTTTCCACGTCGTACCAAGCTTCTCATTCGCCGTCCATTTTGCGATTTTTCCCGACGAAACCCTAATTTGGTAAGCTTTGGCAACGAAGATCATGAAAGGGATTACGAAACTTCTCAATTCTCTTTCGCGACATACAGCTTCCGTAACTCGTTCTCCTTCTTCTTCTCTTCTGCTAGCACGTCGCTCTCTGTTTATCTCGGCGGCTACACACTTTCCGGCGAATTTATGGGATTCCAGAACGACTATTGCTTCTCGCAATTCTTCGAGATCTTCTTCATTTCCCCTGAATTGGATCGGTATGGTATATCAAAAATGTTAAAAGAGTAATCTTTGTCTCCTGATTCTTGAAATGAAATGACTTTGAAATTCTCATGGCTTGAAATTGATGTTATGAGCAGAGCAAAGGAGGACAATGTTTATCGAAACACAATCAACACCAAACCCTTCTTCTCTAATGTTTAATCCTGGTAAACCAGTTATGGATATTGGAAGTGCTGATTTCCCTAATTCTCGTTCTGCTATGGGTTCTCCTTTAGCTAAAGCCATCTTCGCCATTGATGGTATCCTTCGTCTTTTGCTACAGCTTTCATATGATCTGTGTTTGTGATTTTGTAACTAAGATTTCTCTCTTGATGCAGGTGTAGTTCGAGTTTTCTTTGGGTCAGATTTTGTTACTGTAACAAAGTCAGATGATGTAACATGGGATATACTCAAGCCTGATATCTTTGCAGTGGTAATGGACTTTTACTCTTCTGGTCAGCCTTTGTTTCTCGACTCACAAGCTACAGCTGCCAAGGATACCGCCATTCACGAGGTAGGCTGCCAATGTTTGGTAGATATAGAGTTTAAAAAGCCTAATACTAACAAGTGTGTTAATTATTTCTCAGGATGACTCTGAAACTGTAGCAATGATTAAGGAACTCTTGGAGACGCGTATCCGACCATCAGTCCAAGATGATGGAGGGGACATTGAGTATTGTGGATTTGATACGTAAGTTTTTGTATGAGTTAAAAGCAGATTTAAAAGAAGATCAGCTTCTTTATCTTTATCAAAGCTGTATGTGTTTTGATCAGGGAAACTGGTATAGTTAAGCTTAGAATGCAAGGAGCTTGTAGCGGTTGTCCAAGTTCATCTGTTACTTTGAAATCAGGAATTGAGAATATGCTTATGCATTATGTATCCGAGGTAAAGATTATAAGGAGAGGTCCTACCATTTATCATTTCTGTTATGTCTTTTGCTGTTAATCGGGGAATCATGATCTTGTAATGGTCTCTTCTCTTGTTTTCTAATCATCAAATTACTCACCACAAAGCGCTTGTGCAAAACACAGGTCAAAGGTGTTGAGCAAGAATTCGATGGTGAAGAGGAGGGAACATCGTCCGGTCCAATGGAGTAGAGTAACAGAAATGCATCAGAAAAAACTTGAGATTTGTTGCTGCTCTTCAATATACAGAAGAAGAAGAAATCAGAGGTACATTAGTTTTGTCTTCTCCTGAACCTGGCTGCCTCAGAATACTATAGACTACTGCGAAATCATGGAGTTGTCTCATATAACCCCAATAATTGAATTTCTTTATGATAATATGGCTCCTAGTGGGCATTCAAGTGTAGCTGAAAGGGTAAAGATTTGTTGCCTAAAAGTTTAAGTACACGTAATTGCTGATTTTGAAGTTATTTAACGATATTTGAACAAAGGTTTTTTATAGATTTGATCAAATATTACAAACCACACTGAGAATAGTTTTACGACATAAATACAGAGGCTGGTTAAATAGCGAACTCAGTTACGGCATATCCTTGCCGTAGGCATTGTGACACAGACAGGAGCGTACTTCTTCTTGGCAGCCTCTGTTCCTCTCTTTGGTTCCTCGTCTGCCATTGCCACCTTAGCTAAGGAGCACACAGCCGCAGCTGCAGCTGTGAACATCAGATCCCTCCTCATCTTCATGCTCTGTTCTTGTTTCTTGTTCTCCAAGCTGGTTGTGTTTTCGCTCGCAGAGGCTTTGACCACCGTGAGGCTTCGTCTGCTGTTGCCAGAGATGTTTGCCGGAAGCTTTGAGACGGTGGGGAGAAATGAAGATGTCATAGTCATTGACGCCATTGCAATTGGTAAGTTGGATTCCCACGTGTGATCTCTTTATCTCTCTCTGTTTCTTGTTTATCTGATGAGTTGGTGATTGATTGTGTTTAAAAAGTTGGGGATGTGGGAATTGATATTGAGTGATTATGATCCATTTCCTTATCCAAAATATGAATTTATAGCAAATGGGTTGTTGCCACGTGTCTTTGTGCTATCCTTATTTTGCATAGATGAACTCTCCAAAGAGAATGAATACTAGAAGCTTTCTTGTAGTGTCTAGAAGAACTAGGTCCATTCACGGGTTGTGAAACAAATCTTTGATTTTCAAAAAAGAAGACGCAAAAAGGGTCAAGAGCCCAATTCACTTCTTCAACCACCAAAACGGACGAGTCAGTCAGTGGTCACGAGCTTTTTCTGGCCCAAACAGAAACTAATAGAATTAAATTGGGAGGTGCTATAATTCCATTTTCAAAACAATATAACAAATTAGTTATTTTTTAGGGTTAATTTTAGTTAGAGCAAAACTAGTGGTTTTGTTAAATTTTCTCTTTTCAAAACATTAACAAAATGCACATAATTTTATTTACTGTATAAAGTATAAACTGTAGCAAACAAAACAAGTTTTTTTTTTTGATAAGGTTGATGCATTATATAAACTGGTAGCAAGAGTTTTACAATTGTTACACTATAGTTATTAGGACATAATGTCCCACATCGGAAGTTGGAAGGGATCCTAAGTAATATATAAAGGGATATGGGCCACTCCACTCATTGCCAATTGGTTTTGAGTTGGAAGTCCATAGAACTTAACATGGTATCAGAGCACCATCCACACATGTCCAACCCGATCCGATCCAAAGATGGTCCAATCATCGACAAGGCCCAAAATTGATGCCGTCGATCTAAGCCCGAACATTCCGAGATTAATGGCCAAAAAGCCATCATCTCGAGGGGGCGTATTAGGACATAATGTCCCACATCGGAAGTTGGAAGGGATCCTAAGTAATATATAAGGGATATGGGCCACTCCACTCATTGCCAATTGGTTTTGAGTTGGAAGCCCATAGAACTTAACATGGTATCAGAGCCCGATCCACACATGTCCAACCCGATCCGACCCAAAGATGGTCCAATCATCGACAAGGCCCAAAATTGATGCCGTCGATCTAAGCCCGAACATTCCGAGATTAATGGCCAAAGAGCCATCATCTCGAGGGGGCGTATTAGGACATAATGTCCCATAAGGATAATGAAGACGTTTTTTTCAAGGTTATGGAAACACTTCTAAAGAAAAGACTAAGTAACATACATGCTGAGACATATGATGAATTGATCGAAAAAGTCGAGACTCTACCTTTAGAAGATGATTTCAAAGATGAAGCTGTTGAATTCGATTTCGAGGATGTGCATTCCACTGACAAAGAACTCGATGGTTTGTACAACTCATCAAAAAAATTTTGTTTTATTTTATAAAATAATATATAATGTTCTAATTTAATCATATAAAAAATAAGAAGAGCTTGGAATTTTTTTATGAAATTCGAATAATTCTTAAGAAGATATTTATTTGTTTAGTGTGCGTGATGTCATTTATGCAGAGAAGGTACCTTACACAATAGAAATTTTTTTTTAAAAAAGAAATAGGCATTGTTTGGAAAATAAGAAAGTTGAGAATTTTTAAAACCACATTTTCCCAAAAAAATTTCTTTCAAATATCACTATTATATTGTCCTATTTGAGTGGAAGCCCCTTGGCCCATTGGTTGACCAAGGGTTAATTAATGCTTCTACACTAAGAGGTATGGGGTTCGAGTCCTAGATATTGCGATTTATTAATAAATTTGCAGATTAAAAGGAGGCAAGTGTGCAGGAGATTTCCAGCGCTATACAATTATAGCCGTTCGCCAGGATTCTACGTAGAGAGAGAAGTGTCGTCAGGTCGTGGATCATTGAAGGTGTCCGTCAAGAGCATGGAGAAGGAAGTGTCGTCTGTCGTGGATCTAATAAGGGTCGGAAGGAATTGTCCGTTGTAGAATCGTCTATGTAACAGTTCTCATAATTTGCAATAAATAATAAATCTAGACGTCAAAAAAAATATTGTCCTATTTGAATATTGAAATAGACTCTAAAAAAACATGATCGAGTAAACAACACTAGTCGTTGACAAAAAACAAAAACAACCACTAGTCACTATGTATTAATTAATGGATATCGTAAAAAAGATCCAATAAGGTAATGGCAGAGTTGTAATAAAAAAAAGAAGGAAGCAGCGGTTTCATCACGAACTTAACACAAGACAGCTTTTATTTGAAAATGGCTCCACTTCACGAGGCTTCTCTTTCTCCCTTATCTCTCTCTCTCTCTCGCCGTAGGCTTTACTCGAGAACCAGACCCAAGATCACACCATTATATAATATACACATCAATTCACACATTGTATTAAAAAAAACACAATCTTTGAATGAATTCTCCAAGGTTGTCTCTTTTCTTCTCTGTTTTCGAGTGATTCTATTTTCCAACGGTAACAAAGGGTTCTTTTTTTTCAAAAACCCGACAGAGAAAGATCAGAGCTTTCTTCTTCTTCTTCTGACAATCATCATCAGACAGAGACAAAAGACAACGACAAAGACAGAGACTTTCGTTGCTTTTTTTGTTAAAGTTGGTTGGTGAATAAAAATGGAGAGAAGTAACGAAGCGTTGATGATGCGGAAATCGAAGTGGCAGAACCCACAGACGCCGAGGATTCTTCAGTTGCCACGTAGGCATAGTGTTCGACGGAATGCTTCAAAGGGTTTGAAGACAACGCTTTCTTCGTCGTCTCAGAAGGATCAGAGAGTGAAATTGGAGGTTCTGTTTCATCAAGAGAGGATTTTTGATCGAGGGGCATCAATGGTGATGGTGAATGAGGAGGAAGAAGGAAGGAGAAGAGGGAAAGTTGCAGATGGGAGAGAGATAGGTGGGTCTGGGTTGTCTTCTTCGGTAGATGAAGTTGAGGAGGCTAAGTGGAGGTTTCAAGCGGAGATGTTGAGATCAGAGTGTAATTTGTTAAGAATAGAAAAAGAGATTGCTTTGAAGAAGATGGAGAGGAGGAAGAAGCGAATGGAGCGGACGCTGAAATCTGCTGTTCGTACTCTTCTCTCTGTAAGTCAAAGAATCTGATTTGGTTTGTGTGTTTGTGTTTTGTGAATGTTAGTGTTTTGAGTTTGAAGCTGTTCTATGTTTGATTTAGGGGAAACAGAGAATCTCTGAAGGGAAGAAAGAGAGCAAGGTTTTGGAAGATGAGATAAGCTATTTGGTTGAGAAACTGAATGAGTTAAAGTCTCCAAAGGTTAAGGACATGGAAGCTAGAAACTTCAGACATAATTTTGATAAGCAAGCTTCTGTTTTAAGAAGAGAGCTAGAGAGGTTCGATGAAGCAGTTTCCGAAGAGGTTTGTGTCAAAGGGATTCAGAAAATGGCAGAAGCTAGCTTCTCGGTCCATTCTGATCAAAGCGCTCTTAGGAACAATAATGGAAATGTGAGTGTAACAATTCACTCTAAATGGCTTAAGTCTTTTTAGCATGGTTTTGATTTTTGATGTTTTTTCTGCAGATAGATACATTGAGTAGTAAAATGGAGGCGTTATCGAAAGGGGTTTTGTTGGAAAGAATGGAGAAGGAATATGGATCGAGTCTCGTTGCACCGTCTTCAAGCTCTGTACAAGACATGTATAGTAAGGTAAAGTTGTGAAAACAAATTCTCTACTCTCTATATGAGCTCAAATGAAGTTTGTGAAAATTTTACGTTTTGCAGGCAATTAAAGCACACGAGGAAAAGAAAGACTGTTCTAGACACTGCAAAGCAGTAATGAGGAAGATCGCGGATGAAGTCAGAGCTGAAGCAGAGCAATGGTCACAAATGCAAGAGATGTTGAATCAAGTGAGAAAAGAAATGGAGGAACTTCAATCTTGTCGTGATTTCTGGCAAAACCGCGCTCTCGAGTCAGATTCCGAGATACAAAATCTACATTCCTCAGTAAGATAGATATTACACATCATAAGTTCTTCTCATATAGCACAAGTCGGTGACTTAACAAATGTTGAATCTGTATTAGGTTGAAGGATGGCGAAGAAAGGCAATATCATCAGAGGCAAAGTTGAAAAACCTACAAGAAGAGGTTTGCGGTTTACAAGAAGAGATCAAGAGACTGAGGAAGGAAGATAAGTTAGAACCAGAGAAGAACAAATTGCCATCAGAGTCAGAGAAGAGAGTATTGATTTGTCGGTTGAAAGAAAACCGACATAGCAACAATGGAGATTGGTCTAAGTATAGTGAAGGAAGAACAACAAAACCGTCGACCTCGAGACCGCCTTTGAGGGAAGTTAAGAACAGTTCAGTCACAACAAGGCAGAGAAACTCCAATGTCATCAAAATGTAACTTTTTTTTCTGACCAAAACCGAATATTTCCGGTTAATAAATTTGCTATATTGAGTTCATGAAAACTTGGTTTAACAACGAAATTAGTTTATGAATTATAAACGTACGGACGAGATTAAGAGGAGTCAGAGTCACACACTTGGTAGAGAAAAATCCCGAGGAAAACTCTAACGAACTCTCCTAAAAATGGCGCGCTTTAAAACCCAAAAAACAGAACAGGAAAATAAAAAGGCAAAAAGCTAAGAATATCTAAGTTTTGAAGAATTCAAACACAGAAAAAAACAAAGAGAGATAATTTGAGAAGAAGATCTGAAAGAAGAATGAGCAGCGAAGAAGAGAAGACAGTGTGTGTGACAGGAGCTTCAGGTTACATTGCTTCATGGATCGTTAAGCTTCTCCTTCTCCGTGGCTACACCGTTAAAGCCTCTGTTCGCGATCCAAGTCCGTCTCTTTTTCTCTATTCAATCTCTTCCAAATCTTATATATCGAAACCGAAATAACGGCTCTAATATAGTTTCATGTTCATGATTCGTTTTTTCTTTTCTTTTTGTAATGAAATTTGAAGAGATGAGAGATCATTAGAGATCTTGTAATTGTCGGATGATTCAAGATTCATAGATTCGTTTACTTTGTATATATGGTTCAATGGAACAGATGATCCGAGGAAAACAGAGCATTTGCTTGCATTGGAAGGAGCAGAGGAAAGGCTTAAATTGTTCAAAGCAAACTTGTTAGAAGAAGGCTCTTTTGATTCAGCAATCGATGGTTGCGAAGGAGTTTTCCACACCGCATCGCCATTCTATCATGACGTCAAGGACCCTCAGGTCTCCCTCTTTAATTTTGGCGCAATCTCTTGTGATCGAAATTTTCCATTTTTGATTGATTTGTGGTTTGGTTTTTGTAGGCTGAGTTACTTGATCCAGCAGTGAAAGGAACAATCAATGTTCTTAGCTCTTGTTTGAAGACTTCCTCTGTTAAGAGAGTTGTCTTAACCTCATCTATAGCAGCTGTTGCTTTCAATGGAATGCCTCGAACACCCGAGACCATAGTTGACGAAACTTGGTTCGCCGATCCTGACTATTGCAGAGCTTCCAAGGTAAATCAAAATGAATTCTGGTTGCGTGATGTTGAAGATATCACTCTGTATTTGCTGAATCATTTGTTTTTTCTTCTCAAAAGCTATGGTATGTACTCTCGAAGACATTAGCTGAAAACGCAGCGTGGAAATTCGCGAAAGAGAATGATTTACAGCTGGTTTCGATAAATCCAGCTATGGTGATTGGTCCTCTCTTACAGCCAACGCTAAACACTAGCGCTGCTGCAGTACTAAGCTTGATCAAAGGTAAAGAAAAAACACAAGCATTGGTTTGATTCAGACACTTACCTAAAGTTGAACATTGGCTTACATTTTCAGGAGCACAAACGTTTCCTAATGCGACGTTCGGGTGGGTTAACGTTAAAGATGTAGCGAACGCTCATATTCAAGCGTTTGAGAATCCAACTGCTGATGGGAGATACTGTTTAGTGGAGAGAGTTGCCCATTACTCTGAAGTTGTTAACATTTTGCATGATCTTTACCCTGATTTTCAACTCCCTGAAAAGTTAGTGTTTCTTTTCTTTTTTTTTTCTTTCTACAAGTTGATAATTAAAAGACAAGATCTTTGAAAATAATCAATTAAAATTTGTTGTAGGTGTGCAGATGAAAAGATATATATTCCAACATATAAAGTGTCTAAAGAGAAAGCAGAGTCTCTTGGGGTTGAGTTTGTGCCATTGGAAGTTAGCATTAAAGAGACTGTAGAGAGCTTGAGAGATAAAGGGTTCATCAGATTCTGAGTTCCATCCACAAAACCAGAACCAGACTTGGATCTGTTTGTGTTTTACTCCCAAGTTTTCTTTTAATGTGTTTTTTCTTTTACTTAATTCAAATATGGAGTGTTGCCTTTGATATTATGAACATTATTTCATCATTTTGGACTGATATTTGTATTGGAATGAAGTTTCCTTTTTAAAGTGGTTACATTTCAGTGGAATATAATAAAGCCAATTGTCAATTTTATTAACTTTAACTATTGTTTTAGTCTTAGCAAAATTGTCACGTCTACATGTATTTAAGGGCTGCTTGTAGCAATCCACCTGCACTAGATACGTTTAACTAGGATCACTTTGTACTTTTGACCTCAACCCAATTCACCCTATACTCTTCTTTTCCTTCCTAATTCCACCCAATGTATAAAATTCTACCGAATTAGCCAAATTCAATTAATTTTTATAATTGCGATTTAAAATCAATAAATAGCGTTTTCTATTTTCTGATTTGAGTAAACCCGAGTTTTAAATGTTCCCAACAACATGTCCACAACACATTGAAAAGCTTGGCCGAGTGAAGAGTTTATAGATATGACACTTTGGTCTGATAGTTTACCAATTGAGATTATAAGTATAGTTTACCAATTGAGATTATAAGTATAGTAGATATCATTTTCTTCTCTTTTGATGATCTTCCCATTTTAATATAATCGTGATCTGAAAATTCTTGACTATGCAAATTTGTGACAAATTTTTTTTCTAATCAAAAATAAAACTGAAAACATGTAAAAGATACTCGAATTATATCCTATCAAAACAAGTTTGTGTATAGGACAAAACGTGTGTTTAGTAACATCTTATCTTTTTTTTTAGTGACATCTTATCTTAATATCATAAAAAGCCATGTTGTTAAGAAAACAGCTAAAAGCCTAAGCAAAAAAGCAAGTTTCAAAGGGAACTAGAGATTTAACTGCAAGATTCATCAACAACAATCAATAATTTGTTTTTCAAAGTTTTTTGGAAAAAATCCCAAATACATGTATATTTTTTTAAAAAAATTACGTTTATTTTAGAAGTCTATCATGTATAGTTTGGCTTATTTTTCTTAGTAATGAAGGGAATTAAAAAAAAAAATGTAAACTGTAATGTTTTTATGGAAATGTCCAAAATAGATTCATATGATCCAGTTGCTATCATCCTTCTTTATCTCTGTTTCCTCCGACCATATTTGCTGCAAATGAGATATCCTTCGCACTTCAAATTTTATATTTCATACTAATTCTTTATGATTATTCGCATAAAACAACATTTGTGATATCATAGTGTTATCTCAAACTTTTTAATATGCATGCCTTCACAAGTTGTAATTGGGAATCCATTAGTCAGAGAGATATTTCTTCTAAAGCCCTCCCAAAACATATGTTCTTCCACTTAATTTCTTTTTTATCCTTTCAATCACAGCCATTTCTAAGACTGAGGCTTCGATTTATATACATCAACTATTGGAAGTTACAACTTAACAAAAGAAAACGTTTTTGTCAAGAGAAATCTCAACGTAAAACAATCAAATCCAACGAAACACACATTGAGAGCGAAATTTTACAACCTAGATACTGTAAACCTAGATACTGTAATCAACCAAATTCCGGTTTCCAGTTATGTTTTAAAAGAAGCTTTTGGTCAGATCATGAAGTTAAAAAAACAAGCATCAACAACAATAAATAAAACTTATACAACCTACGACACACTTGTTGTTAACTATTCGATCCTCACTTACAATGTAAGAGATGTGAATAGGGAGTGAGTTTCTATCACCATGGTCTGCCTTTTCCTCCAAGCCGGCGTGCAAGCTCAAAGTCTTTTCTCACTGATATGAACAAAAACAGATAATATTGTATATGATTTTCAGGTAACTAATGATTCAAAGGGATACAAAAGTAGCTTGTGATTCCTAAATTTAGAGTACTTACTTAGCGTAACACGTCTTGCATGGATAGCACAGAGCATTGAATCGGAGAACAAACCAACCAAGTAATCTTCTGCCGCCTATCACAAAGAATTCTTTGTGATTAAGTTGATTGGGTCATCAAGACATTATTTGTGATGTGTGTGACTCTCTCTATATCTATATTCATATATTCGTATCAAGAAAAAAGTTGAAGGATTGGTACCTCTTGAAGAGCCACAAGAGCTTCAGCTGTCCAACGATTGATTTGGGGAGGGGCCAACGCATGAGTTATACTTCTCACCTGGAAAAAGAAACTAAATTAGTTTGTTTGGAACACAAATCAGCATTTCCATATCACTGAGGATTCATGTTAAGTATTGTAGTTACAGAATCATATGGTTCTGAATCTATGAGTCAATAACCTCAAAGACAAGCTCCTTAACGGAGGTTTGGCCTCATGATTCCTCTGAATTTTAGTTAAAATGCTATATCACTATGTTCACTGCATTGATGTTCAGATAGGATCCATGTTGAAAACAAGCCACATCAAACACCAAAAGGCTTGTGTTATCTCTTGATATATATATGGTTATGCTGTGAAACTTATTAAGCAAAAGAAAAAGAGAGAAAAAGAGAAACTCACTTGTCTTATGAAGCTAGCAGCTGGAATAAGAAGGTTTGTCTGCTTCTGGAAATGTCGAATCTCTCTCAGAGCAACTGTTCCTGGCTTGAATCGGTAAGGCTTCTTCTGTGAACCTACATGGACAAGACGAAGATTAGTTTTCAAAACACAATAAATGTCCTGCATTATGTAGGATATCACAAGAGATGTTTTAAAAAAAAACACTAACCTCGTGGCATAGCCTGTCTGGCTCTCCTAGGCCCTCTCTTCACAAACCAAATGAGAATTTCGTCAGCATAACGCGAAATCAAAGTTCATAAGCAGTGGTCAAAATCTTACCGTTCCACCAGTAGCTGGTGAAGTTGTAGGATTTACTGCAAAGGAACAAACTTTTCACATAACGCACAAACAAAAGAGATGAAAAAATAGGGAAAATAATCAAAGTGATAATAATCTCACAAACCATAAAAAAAAAAAAAACTCACTTTGTTGAGTATTATCTCCACCTTCAGTGCCTCTTGTTGTCGGGGTCTACAATTTCGATGGATAAAACAAATTTGACAAAATCATAACGTGATAAGGAAACTTTGAATCTGAAATTCGAGACCCTAAAACGGAAAAAGATACCGTACCGTAGTCGGACCTGCCGCTTGAGAAGATGAAGCATTGGCATCTACAATTTCAGATTCGAAATCTAGGGTTAACACCGGAAAATCGAAAAAAAAAAAACCCTAAAATTATGGGTAAAATCAGAAGTAAATTGAAAGAGAAAGCAGATTTAAGATACCAGTTCGATTCCCAGATCCTGACCTGGTAGCGAAATGCTTGGTTCTCGCCATTAATTATTGCTGGAGAAATCGCACCATGAGACGAATCGTAAAATCGGAAAGAGAGATCTTAGAAAAGACGAAAACTTCGATTATGAAACTCACCTGATGAGAAATTTCCCGCTAGATACGAAAAGATTTGAAGATTGGGGCAGATTTTTAATTTCCCGCTCGACCCTAAAATTTTGATTTTAAAATTGAATCTGCTTCACCAATGGTTTATGGTTTGTTTCAGTCAGACTCATAAGAACTTTTATTTGCACCCTGCCGCTTCATATAGGAGGTTCGACTCTTCAAAAACGACACCGTTTTATCAGGAAGAAGTTTTTTAGCCTACTGTCGTTCCTTATTTACCCCTGGACTGTGTACAATATAACATTCAATACCTGTTTTAGATGAAAATTGAAAACTTGGGAATGGTTTTTTACCGTTAAATCTCAATTCAAAATCTCTGTCTATGTCTCTCTCTCCCTCTTGTGTGTTCAGCTTTTGAATTTGGTGAAATTAACCCGAAAATTTTCAACTTTCTGCCACAAATTCTTTACATTTTCACAGCATCTAGTCATAGGTTCTGTTCAACAAAGAAGTGAACCTGAACACCAAATCTTTTGTGAACTATATTATACATCATAAACCATTCACATTTACATTGTTTCTTCCTTTTACAAAAGTATCTACAAATAAAGCAAAAGGGTCACAAACCACCAGAAGATATCTTACATCAAAACTTCACCATTGGAAAATATATATACATCTTTTAAGAACTGGTCATTACCGAGAATATATATATGAGAGTCTTGACGAAACAATGTTTCCTTTTGGTTCTGTTCTGTTCTAATATGGGGGTATTTTGTGAATTGCGTCTTTTTCAACGTCTCTTTCGTATGTTGGGTTTCATCGTCTCTTCGTCCCGCTCCTATATAAACAAGGTTTGTTTCCATTCTCAAAGCAAACCAACATATTGGTTTGTGTTACTCAGACGTGTTTATAAATACTACAAGTTTATCCAGAGTGGTAGAAAGAAAGAAATCAGTTTAGGGTTCGGAAACTTATCATCCTATATTGTATAATGAGCAAGAATTTAGATTTTCTTTATACAAGAAGAGACTCTATAATGATACTTAAATATTTTGCAGGTAAATGGGCAAAGACTCTCATTTGGAATGACACCAGAGACTCAGGAGGCTACCAAAACCTGGAGAGATGATGCTCTCGGTACATGTCTCTCCTCTTGGGGTCTATAAAGAAGATTTGACTGCAAGATTCATCAATAACTTGTTTTTCTAGGTTTTCAGGAATAAAAAGAAAAGTAAATTGTAATGGTTTAATGGAATTCAGATGATCCAGTTGCTATCATCCTTCTTTATCTCTGTTTCCTCCGACCATATTTGCTGCACATGTTCCCACACAAACCCTTCTCCTTCCTGCAATATTTCATTATTACTTTCAATCCTCAAGAAACAGAAGAATCTACTCTTTATACTAATATAATAGTCCTCTTAATCATCTCTTACCTTTGAGGTGAATTTGACCGTTGTTGTGCAGCATTTCCTCTCATCCCCTGCAATATCCACAATCCGAATATCGATTAAGCAAGATACTAATATGAGGTTTGTGGGAGAGTGTAACATATTAAGGCTTTATTTAACTACCTATCTGCTCCCATTTATCAAGCTTTACTATCCAAGTCCCTGGAGTTGTGTCTGTTGCCAAGACCTGATCAGTCCAAACCCGAAACTTCTTCCCTTTCATGTCTCCATAGTACTTGCCAAGCTCATCAATGGTGTCTCTGAGAGACTTTTCAGCACCAGATGGATGAACAAAGACACCAGCAGGATGCTGATAGTGGTTTGAGAAAGCATAAAAGAATCATTAAGTCTCTTTGATACAGTGAGATTTGCAGATAAAGAGAAACAAGGTTATACTCACACATGAAGCTTTGAGGCTTGCTGTATATGTCTCACAGTTCTCAACTTCACCTCGTCTCCATCTCTCGTAGAACAAGAAAAACTTCACTACCTCATGACCCGGGTTCACATTATCCGCCTTGCACTCCAAGAAGTCAGAAACATCTCTTGGAGATAGGTTTGGACCAAGCTTAAAGTGACCAATGGCTTGTATAATCCCACCCGCACACCTCTCATTCGCGTGGATTATGTTTGGATTGTCTTTCGCATTTTCAGCATACCACTCCAACAACTCTTCTTGAGCATTGCTTACCTATGAAAGCAAGAGAAGACTAAAAACATGGAAACTCAATTGCAAAACTGATGATCAGAGACCGCGAAAAACCAACCATGACACCATAAACATTGGGAATGGTAAATAGTTCAGTATCATTTCCAGAGTCCCCACAAGCAAGAGTATTAACAGGGAGTTTTCCTTCAGTCTTGAGCTTCTTTAGCAGATAAGCAAGAGCTTGTCCCTTTCCTCCACCTTGTGGTAAAACATCGAAAGCGTTTCCTCCACTGAAAATTATCTTGATATCAACCTGAAAAGAACACAAAGATGTTGTAAACTAATAAACAAAGATCAGGCAAAGTTCTCTAAGAGAAAAGAAACCAATCTTACGCCACGTTTCTCCAACCGCTGAGATAGCTCTTTCGTCACTGCCTGAACCTTACTCTTGTCAATGTTAAAACTAAGCTTGTGTGGCCTCTGTTCAGTTTCACCCTGCATTCAATGATCACACTCTATGGACAAGTAACATCTCAGAATATAGTGAGATTGAGACTTTGTTGTGTTTAAGTAGAAAGTACCTGAAGAGTTAACTCAGGGAACTTGCTGGTTTCTTCTTGGACGATTCCTCGGTCCCATTTGTTATTCAAGATTTCAACCCAATTATCATCAAGAACCATGGAGTTACCATAAGCAATCTCAGTTCCTACAGATGTAATAATAACATCAGGGGTTAACAAAGGTCTCTCTTTTCTCAGTTTCTTGTACATTGTTTGTGCTCTTCCTGTTGAGAAAACAAGAAGCGAATCGTGTCGATAAGCGTCTTCCCATAATGAATTAAACCTCAACAAAGATAGATTCTCTGGATCTTTATGATGATCAACCTGCAAAATCAAAACAAAAACATCAATCAAATCAAATCGTTGTTCTGTTCTTAACATATGAAGAATCAAGAGTTGTGGTTTACCATTGTTTCGTCAAGATCTGAGACAATCATTAGACGAGGAGGCGATGTTAACCGCTCCATGATTACAATCAACGTCCTGGAGATTTGATTAGTGAGAAAGCATGAAACTTTAGATCATCGGATCCATAAAGATTAGGTTTTGTTTATGTCAGAGCGATCAAATCGAAGGAAACGATTCAAAAAAAGGGTTGCTTTGACCTAAAGATCACAACAGATATGGATTCTTAAAGGCGGAAACTTTGAGGATTAGATCAATAGGTAAAGGTGATTTGAGATTGAGACAAACCTGAGGAATGCGAACGCAAGAATCGAAGAAGAATTGGTTTGTGATGAGAATGAATTTGAGAGAGAAAGAGTGAGAGAATGCCTAACGCAGCGCAGAGCGGGGAAGAACAAGTCAATTTTTTCCTCATATTAATTTGAATTTTTTATATTTTTTCCACGAAATATTATTTTGTTTATGAATTATGACTTATGTGGTCTTTTTTTCCACGTTGACGTACTTATTTAATTATTTAAATAATAGTATATATTTAGAATATGACATATACATTTTATTATATAAAATTATTCCTCTAATTTAAATTTAAATGTGTTAAAATAAAAATTATTCTTGTATTTTTTTTTTAATTGAGTTCGTTTTTTATTACTTCAAAAAAATTTCACATATATATATATATATATATATATATATCTATATATTTTTTTCTCCAAAATTTGAAAATTGATTTTTTACTCTTATTTAAATTGAGTGTGCTTTTAAATTTTCAATTTTTTCTTCAATATTTTAAACTATATTACCAATTTAACGAAAAAATAATAAATTGGAAAATGAAGTTAATTAAAATTTATCAAAATAGTGAAGAAAATGTTAAGTGTGTATGCATGTGTATACAAAACTTCCCTACCAAAAAAAAATGTGTATACAAAACTTTGTTTATGTGTATAATAGTTTTAAATAATTTTTTTTTTAGTATCAGCTAAATGTTAACATTTTTGGTTTTCAATACAATTTTATAACTTCATATGATTTTCTCACACACATGGCTAATTGTTCGACGCAAAAAAAAAGAAAAGAAAAAAAAAGTATCATTGAGTGTAACTCAGCCCATAGTAGACCCCCAACGAATATGCTTTATTCTTGAGAGGTTTGAAGGAAAGTCCTTATCATAGGAATTTTTCATTCTTGGAATTAATCGAATGACCCAGACACTAAAAGATATATGTCATGTACAAACACTATGGCCTGAACATCAATCCGATTTTGGTAGCGTGGTGATGACTCTAATCATTTTCATACCAACTAATGGAGCGTTTTGTCAACAATACGATTTATCGACCCTTCGTCTCATTTGGATGGATGCTCTTGGTTAGGCCTTGGCATTTGGTTAACGGTTCCGTTCAGTTTGGAAGTTGGAATTTCAGCTTGAATTGGACTACACGGTGAGAGTTATAAGACCAAGTCTTATGAAAGTGAGTGACTTAGACACCGTCTATTTGGATTAAGCATGGAGTACTAAAGCATATATAGTTCCATGTTTCATGTTTGGCTTCCTCGTTTGTGTCTGGTATGGGGTTTCGTTCACACCGATGTTTCAATTTATTATTTCGGTTACTTTAAAGATTGTGAAACGTTCTTTTATTTTATATGATTAAATTTGGCTTTTCAAAAAAGTATCAACTAAAGAAAACAAATTCTATCAACCACTGATAATTTGACTATCATTGCTAGCTAGCAAGTTTGCATAAACTATTCTACTAATTATACCCATCCACGATCCCTTAATAAAAATTTTGTACCTTAAGAAAGAAAAACCATTACATTCTCACACTCATCATTATGTTGTACCATTAGCTATTTAAAGCTTAGGGTTCGAATGGTTGCTGCGGTTAAGACGGACAAATCCATTTACGGTTTGGACCGCTTTTTATTTACTATTTATATACTATAATCCATAGTAGTGCGGATAAAAAAAAATAGAACAAGTCCGCGGCGGACTAACTACGGACCGCTTTTACGTAGAAATAAACTTGGTCTGCGACGATTTATTGACCGCTCCAAAAATAGGATGGTCTAGTCCGCTAACCATTTAGTCCGTTTTTTCTACAACATCCAATCAAAGCCTTTAAATCCCAACCCCTATAGGTAATTTTCTCTCTTAGTACAATCACTTGAAACAGAAGAATCTTAATTCTCAATACAAAGTGGAAGATTTATTTGTTTCTTGAGTGGGTCTATTCATATATTTAATACACATCTACATACATACATGCATACACGTGTTAAAAGATGTGTGGCCATATTGTACAAGAAGGAATTTAGAAGTTAGAACTCCATTAAAGGAGAAGAAAGAAACATCCATTAATTGTATGTCTCTCTCTTCTTCACCGACCCCATTAAATACACAACAATAAGGAGAGGCACTCATACCAAATTCATCATCAATCTTTGTAACCCAACCAAATCATAATCATCCATACACAAAAAAAAACAAAAAGCAAATTTAATAGAAACTCATATGCATATACATACTCACTTGCTCTCTAGTATTCTCTACAAAAAAAAAAGCAATAAAGAAGTTGTAACTCTCTACTCTTAACCACCAAATCTAAATGGCTTCTCCATCATCACCAATAACTCTCAAAAACCCAAGATTTATCTCTTCTTCTCCTCACAAGATCTTTAAAACCCAACCCCATACCCTAGTTTTGACAAAAAAGTTCAAGACATGTTCCATCATTTTCTCATCTTCATGCACAAGCATAAGCTATTCAACGACTCAACAGAAGCAGCCAAAGAAACAAACCCATGTGTCGGATAACAAACGAGAAGAAGAAGAGGAAGAAAAAGAAGTTAGTCTTCGAGAAATTTGGAGAGAAGTACAAGGTTGCAATAATTGGGAAGGACTACTAGATCCGATGAACAATCATCTTCGAAGAGAGATCATACGTTATGGCGAATTCGCTCAAGCTTGCTATGACTCATTCGACTTCGATCCTCACTCTAAATACTGTGGCTCTTGCAAATACCATCCTTCTGATTTCTTCTCAAACCTTGACCTACATCTCCACAAAGGCTACACCATAACACGTTACCTCTACGCTACATCCAACATCAACCTCCCAAACTTCTTCCAGAAATCCAAACTCAGCTCCATTTGGAGCCAACACGCCAACTGGATGGGTTATGTTGCTGTAGCTACGGACGAAGAAGAGGTGACTCGGCTAGGGAGACGTGACATAGTCATTGCTTGGAGAGGCACAGTCACTTATCTCGAATGGATTTATGACTTAAAAGACATTCTTTGTTCGGCTGACTTCGGTGACGACCCATTGATCAAGATTGAATTAGGGTTTCATGACTTGTACACCAAGAAAGAAGATTCTTGCAAATTCTCTTCCTTTTCGGCTAGGGAACAGGTTTTGGCCGAAATCAAACGGCTTCTTGAGTACTACAGTACCGAAGAAGAAGGTCATGAGATAAGCATCACCGTGACTGGGCACAGCCTTGGCGCATCTCTTGCTTTGGTCAGTGCTTATGATATTGCGGAGCTAAACTTGAATCACGTACCGGAGAACAACTACAAAGTTCCAATTACTGTTTTCTCCTTCTCGGGACCTCGAGTAGGTAACTTGAGGTTCAAGGAACGATGCGACGAACTAGGGGTTAAAGTTCTGAGAGTGGTTAACGTACACGACAAGGTACCTTCTGTTCCAGGGATATTCGCAAACGAAAAGTTTCAGTTTCAGAAGTATGTAGAAGAAAAAACATCATTCCCATGGAGCTACGCGCACGTTGGCGTGGAGCTTGCCTTGGACCACAAGAAAAGCCCATTTCTGAAACAGACTAAGGATTTGGGTTGTGCACATAACCTAGAAGCTTTGCTTCATTTAGTAGATGGATACCATGGAAAAGACGAAGAAGCACAGAAGAGATTCTGTTTGGTGACAAAGAGAGACATAGCTTTAGTGAATAAGAGTTGTGATTTCTTGAGAAGTGAGTACCATGTGCCGCCTTGTTGGAGACAAGACGAGAACAAAGGGATGGTCAAGAGCAGCGATGGACGGTGGGTTCTGCCGGACCGACCACAGCTCGAACCTCACCGACTGGAGGATATCGCTCATCATCTTCAACAAGTTCTTGGGAAGGTTAACGATGGTAATTTTAAACCCACAACGACTTAATTAAGTCGAAAATTAAATATAAATAGTTACTATAAATGTGTGTGTCACCTTTAATAAATTGAGTATGCTAGTGTTTGATTAATGATGCAATTACACTTCTATAATTATGGAGGCCATCACCATCCCACATCCAAAGACTTAAATTCTCTGTCATTTGAAAGCTATGATTAGTTATATAATATGTGGTTTAGGAGAGATCCAAAACAACTTTCATCGGTTATGAGTTAACTGGTAAATTCGTACAAAAAACGTGGAAGAAAAGTGGACCACAACCACAAACAAAGTGCATGCTTAGAGGGCATTGAGTGCGTGGATCACTCCAAATAAAATTGATGATGAATCTCTGTTTTCCCCACAGATGATGACATAACAAAAACGATGTGCGCACGATAGAAATTGAAGGATTCAGAGTTGTCATCATGCGTCTAAGAAAAGAGTGAGCACCAAAATTTATAGCTACCTAGATTTGATTTGAAGCCTTCTTTCTATTGAAAAAGTTGAGAATGTATTGAAAATACAAAGAAAGATATCCAAAGAAAGATATCTTTCTAGCTATAAAGTTTTCATGTGATGATCATATATTATAAGCCACTAGAGCCATAATGGACCTGAGCACGGAATAATTTATGGCACCACAAGTCACACAAATCTGGCTTTCCTTAAGATGTATGGGGTTCCACCCAGGCAAGTATGATGCAAAATCGCCTAAGAAGATAATTGTATACTTAAAACCATGTTAATTTTTATTGGTTTCAAACTCGAAGTCAATTGACAATGTATAGATTATCTCAAACTCATACTATTTTAGGTCTTGTCTTATCACATTTTGGGCAACATTTAAAAGTTTGTGTTGGGTTGACTTTTTAAAAGTTTTGACTCTTATGCGTTGACTTTTAAAAGTGTTGACTCTTTAAAACTCAACAAAACTGTTGAAGTGTGAACCTTGATAATCCTGCACAAGAATAGAAATGAATCAGTGTGATGAAGATGAAGACATCACAGAAACTAAGTGTTGCAAAAAGAAGCAAATTAAGAAGAAGTGCAAAGAACAGAGGAAACACATGTTCGTAAAGAGAGGAAAGAAGAAGAAGAAGAAGATGAGAAGAGTCATCAACGAGAAAAGATGAAGTCAAAGAGAGTTGTGTTGTGACTAAAAGTCACGACAAACTAAGTTAGAAAGTAACTAATGAGTCTTTAGTTTGGTTAAGCAAACAAGGAAGTGTGTTTTGTTGTTTAAAGTCTAGGTAAGGTGGAGTTGTTACGGGTTGGTTAGAGTCTAAAGTGAGTTGTTAAAGTTTGCGTGTAAGACTTCTAGCTAGAAGTATGGTCTAAATGGCAGTAGTTAAAGTGTGTGTGGTTCGTAGTAGCAAACTACTATAAGTATATATCTTTGTGAAAGTGTAAATCAATCAATGAAAACAAAGTAGAAGATTAAAGATTTATCCCTTCCATCTTAGTTACTAAACGTTTTGTCTTTATGAAGAGAGCCAAAATAGACATGTAAGAGAGTAAAGAGAGAGCAAAGTTCTCTTTGTCTCTATTGAAACAGAGGAGCAAAACAGAGAGAATACCTCATAGAGAGAAAGTTCAACAAAAACTGTGTATTTTTCTTCTTATCCTCCAAATGATACTGCTCGAGCAGATCCGAAGTCATGAACTCCTTGTTGTTTCTGTTTTCCGGAGAATCCATGAACGGACCCATTGATAGTAAGCTTGTCCTTTAAAGTCAAGAGCAAATGGTCATTTGTATCATTTTTTTGCAAATGATGTTGTATCAATTTTTTGGTCTTATCACTATGTAGAGAATGGACTATAATTAAGAATCCAATATATATATATATACTAACATTATGTGATTAAATTTCAATCACGATATCCAAAATGCTTGTCCCAGGTATGTTGGTGACAAATATGCAAGCTGAACGCAGGTACACACAAGAAAACTCCCAGAGAATATTTGTGACATCTCGTAGTTTTTATTAGAATTACTATAAGCTTGCTTGTTAATCATGGCCTGTCATGCTCTTTCAAAATCGGCACACCAAAACATTTCTAATGATCTTAACCAGAGCCGGTCCTGAAAATTTGGGGGCCAAAGTAATAAAATATTTTTCTAGGGTTATTATAAACAGTTTTGAAATTTGGGGGCCTTTTTCATAGAACAAAATATTTTTAGGGGCTTATTTGTAAATATTTTCTTCAGTAAATTTCTTAAAAATTTGGGGGCCACATACAATTGTTTCTAAGTGATTTGTGAAAATTCTTGGCATATACCTCAGCCCATGGTTCTTTAAATTCAGCAAAACAAGTTTTCCACTCTTCTTGCTTCTGTTTCACACTCCTCATAACACAAGGCAATGCAAACCATGGATCACTCTTGATATTTTCGATCACTTCTATCCCTTTATCACCATACAACATCTCTATAAATCTAAGTATTTGAGCTACAAAAACATAACAAAGCATCAGTCCATAACAAAGTAATCAATCAATCAATAAATACAAGTTGTTATGCAAACGAGTCAAGTAATCTTCCAAGCAAATAGGTTTGTTCTCACTAGTCTTGAATTTTTCCAAAAGTTGGTTTACATGTTTTGTGACTGAATTCCCATACTCTAAAAGCATGTCTAGCTCAAACCTAATGATGCACATCCCATTAAACTCAAGATAATGGTTAACCACTAACACAAAAAATTATTCATTGAAAGGAACTAATCTTTGATCCTCACATTTGTTGAGCTTGTCTTCATAAGCATTACTCCGTTTGTAAAGACTTCCAGAAGATATGGCAAGGACACATCAAGAATTAAGTACTAAGGCACCAAGGGGGTCCTTGTAGCTTACAACTAGTCTTTGGCTCAATTTATAACTAGGTGTAATAGTTGAAACCTCATTGAGAACCAAGTCATCACCAAGAATCTCCTTTTCCTCATTGTGCACGTCCTTCTTTTGAGTTTCTTTTTCATCCACTTGATTGTTACCCTTTCTTTTCCTTTTTTTGCTTCTAACATATGTCTTCTCAGCTTTTTTTTTTCATAGTTTCAGTCCCTAGAAAAAAAAGACAAGATCAGAACAATGAAAGAAGATGAAAAATGTTAATTACAAAGCAATGAAAATTCACCTTTAGTTGAATCCTCATTGAGAACCAAGTCATCACCAAGAACAAAGTCATCACCAAAAAGTCTTGCTTATATATATTCTAATTTTGATGAATGAAAGATTGATATACAACAATTTGTAAAAGGATTGAAGTATCTAAGTAAAACGTGCTATTTAGAAATAAAGAAGGGTGTGAAATTTTTGTACGCCGTATGCATAATTGTTTTGAAACTTTTCCGGTTGTTTTGGTACTTACAAGTGGTCTTTGGCTCAATTTATAACTATGAGTAATCTTGCAAGTTATTTTATTACTTTTGATCACACGAGGAACAAGATTTGTCTCTTCGTTTATAGGAATTTCTACGGAACAAATCTTTTTCAAATCTTTTTTCATCCAATTATGCAATCCAGCTATGTATGTCTTTTAAACACACTAACAAAACTATATCCATTCTCATTTCTTACGTCATAAATATTTACACTCACAAAAAAAATTTAAAAGTTTAAACCGAATATATTCCAAAACACCATCTTGTTTTTATCCGATATTCAAAACTCCGCTATGCGCTAATCAAATGTTTGAGTAAAACTTTATGCAAAATTCCGCTATGTGCTATTTCAAAATTTGAAATTAATTTAGATAAGGGATTTGATTTTTTTTTTTAATAAAAATATGATGTTGTTTTTCTTTAATTTTTATTTTTACCGAAAAATGATAAATAGATTAATTGATGCTTAAACAAATTCATTAGACAGACGTCTAAAACATCTTGGTAACCAATTTATTTCTAACATAGGAACAAAAAAAACTGTATTAAGAGTGATACTGATAACCAGATGTCTGGTTTACTCAATCGATTCTCGGTTATGGTTAATTATTTCTAGTTCATTTGGTTTGTATATTGTTACAAACTTTTCCAATCAATGAAGCAGAAGAAGTGAGCTTTCTAATTCCCATGTAAACTCATTAAATCTAACTCTACTTCAAATAAAACAAGAACAGTTTTACGTTTCAAGAAAATGATCATACGTTGAAACTGGGCATAAATCAACACTATAGCCACAAGAAGTTGTTTTAAAGATACTAGGGGAAACCCGGGCTACGCCCGGTATATATTTGGCAGTTGTTATTTTTGAAATTAGTTTACTCTTTTAAAAAAATTAATTTATTTCATATACATCAAAAAAAAATCATGTTATGGTTTATTAAAAATTTTAAAGGAAAGAAAAACTATATTGTACAGTTTATTTGGTTATGTACTATTATTTGGTTAATTTTAGCCCTTGATCCTCATTTTGGTTCCTAATTCTATTATATTGATCGAGTTTGTGAACCTAGCGCTGCCTCCAATTTTCACCCATTACAGATTTGGCTGCTCTTCAATGTACAATTTGGTGAAGGTCAATGTCCATCATCATTTGCGTTGTAAATATCCATAGAATTTTTTTTAAGGAGGTGATATAATTCTCTGATTCCAAAAAATCACTGAGCATGAGTGAATTTAGAGAAAAGAGTGTGAGACCTTCAATTTAGATAGTCAATAAATTTTAAGACAGAAGCTGGATTTCATGGAAGAATATCAATTTCATATTCATTCAATTCTTTTTTTTTTGGTTATGTTCCCTTTTGTCTTCAAGTTCATAGCCTGGCTAGAAAAATGTGAGAAAATTAAAAAGATATCAGCCAAGAACCTTTACAGAGTTGGAACAAAACATTAAACAATACGTAGTGTGTTGAAAAAAATATATTAGGGAACATGATAGCTAGACCCATATAGCAACGGAGGTAGTACTTAAGTCATAGTTAAATCATTGTTGCAGCAAATGTTTTGATAACATAAGATACATGTGTGTATCTATATAAATATGCATTTTTGAATAAACTTTAAAACACAAGATATGAAACTATAGGAGAATTAACCCTCTCAATTCTTATTGTTCTATTTCTACTTCGACACTCTCGTTATTAGCAT